ACTCTCTCTTCTCATTCACCTCAGGACCACAGTAGGGTGGTGTATCTGTGTACAGGCAAAGTCATATTTTAACAGTCTTACTCGAATGGGTGTAAAAATCAAGACGCTCAAGACCATGCAGAGAAAGCGTGTGCTCGAGACAGCATGCAATTACGCTTTTCCAATTCTCTTGGCTCCACCAAAAAGTCAAAGGCAAAAGAGTTTGCCATTTACAGAATACTGAGATGTATTTCACACATACAGCAGACGGCAGGCATGCAGAGAAGAGAGAACCAGCAACCTGCACAATAAAGAGCAGACATGATGAGTCAGTGCTTGATTAGAGCCCAGCCAGGAGACTTGTGTCACCCCCACAAGTTCCAAATCACAAATTAGGGCACTGGATGTACAGATTTTCTCCAAACAGTTTTTTTTTTTTTTTTTTAATCAGACAAAGCAAAGGACGTCCTGACATTCAGCACAAAAGACTGCAGCAGAGCACAAAAGGGAACATCATTGGTTGATCAAGACACACAAGCATGGAGACTAATGCATGATTATTCTTTCACTATACTGACATGAAAGAAGACAGCATCAAGTCTTATGATGAAATTAAGTACAGAGCATTCAACAAAAGAATTAAATACATCTCTTAGATTGCCAACACTGCATGTGAGCATGGTTGCCCTCTTTGTTGGAAATTCGATGTAGCATTTCGGGGAAGTGGCGGGGGAGAGACTGAAGGCAATCAACCATAGTCATTGCTCTTTTTTTACATTCCTAATTTCCATACGGGTGTAAAAAGAAAATGATTGTGCATTAACATGTACGCGCGATGACAGCTGTAGAGCCTCGACACAAGTCATGATGCCATTGGTCAGAATAGAGGTGAACAACATGACCCCTTGGGGATATTGAATATTCAATATTCAATATTGTAATATCGCATCATATACACTGTACGCACTCTACATGTAGCCAGTCACATCTGACAACTGGGCAGATGTTTTTTGTGGCACTGTTGGGGGTATTAATGCTCAGATTCTGAACCACTCAGAGAGGTGCTTTGCAGGCATACGTAAGACGAGTGCGAGAGTTGACATGAGTTAAGTGCATGTTATGTTTCTATGTTTCTATTCCCGCAGCTTTTCCCTGGTCAGTCTGGGGCGGGGGGGGGGGGGGTGAATAAATATTTTGCTCAGTTCACCATCATATTTTTTTTTCTGGCAAGTATGAATGACTGAATGTGAAATGACATAACACAGTGAGTCACAAAGAGAGTGAAGGAAACAGAGACAGCATGGAATTGGAAATGACTCTGAGGCAGTAGAATTACTCGGCTCAGCCAGGCAGCAGAATTCGGTCAGTGATGATAGCCGTAGCACTGTCGCCAAGAAGACTAAATCAGCTGCGGTGAACCGCCTCGTAGGAAAAAATAAATACCTTGCATCTAGATTTCTTTTTTTAGCCCCTCAGTGAACTGCCCTTAGTTGTATACTGCGAGGCTGATGTTTGAGAGGATGTCTTAAGTTATTCATCTGTGCTACTGTTCCGCTTTTAGCCAGGCAGCCCAAACAAAGCGACGGTCACCTAATTGGCACTGACCGGGCCTAACAGCCTCGTTTGAATCAAGTCATCCCCAATCGAAGCGGCAGAACTTTTTAACACATTAGTATGCAAGGTTGGGCACAAATACGCAAAAAGCTGACAAGGCTTTCTCAAGAGTTTCTTTCGATGTCTGTTTTGAATCAAGTCATCCCCAATAGAAGCGGCAGAGCTTTTTAACACATTAATATGCAAGGTTGGGCACGAATACGCATAAAGCTGACAAGGCTTTCTCAAGAGTTTCTTTCGATGTCGTGTTGATGGACGAGCATTCTTCGGTTAACATTACTTCCATGTGGTTTTATGATAACTTTGGGGCGGTGCATCTTTTACAGCAGTGCTAATGAACAGGAACTGGAAAGCAGACCGTAACAAGACACTTGAGATGGCGTGGCGGGCTCCAGAGAACCATTAGCCAAAGGTTCCATTTTAAACACGGACCAAGAAAAGAGTGTGCTGATGTGTCGCTAATTGCTAGCAGGAAGTTGTTATGGTGTCTTGGGAGCTGTATCCCATTCAAATTAAAACATTTCGATGATTCATGTAGGCTGCAGTATGAGGGACGTTCCTTGCCTCGGATATAGTATCCAGCCGATTTAGGAAGCATGCTACTCGTAGCTGTGGCTTCTGGTGAAATATTTTTGAGGATAAATAAGGTACACAATTTTGCTTTACGGTCAGTTTTTCCGCTAGTCGGAGCAAAATGGAAAATCAGTGGCCGTTTTGCAGAAAGTTAATCATGAATCGTTTTGTAGAAATACTGCATGTTTTTTCTGAAAGAAAAAACAACAACAACAACAAACAATTTTGCCAAAGGAAAGCAAAACTGACAAATCCTGCTGCCAAAAAAATTGCTCACAGACTTTCGCATTTTTGATCTGTGCAAAGTGACACCTGAGTAAGCTTCCGGGGGAGGTTTAATGTTAAGCCCAAGCAGGTCACATAAGAGGCATCTCAGCTTCTGCCTATCTCTGTCAGGCCCACTAGAGGAAATCTAATTTGTTGCAAACACTCTCTTCTCACGTTCACTGATGAGTTGTGATTTCAAAAGTCAAGATCTGTGTCAGCCATCTGGTGACAAAGAACAGCACAAAACTATGCCAGCATTCTATTTTCTGTTTTCCATAATTCAAGCATGGGTGCCGTCTTTGCGTTTATGAATGTCACAGAAAATTCCTCGTAGCCACTTTTTCAGAAGATAAACTATCGGGAATATTTTCTGAACAAAGCTTTTTTTCTTTTTTTAAAAAAAATCATCAACTAATGGATTGTACGCCAACCAGACACCAACCACATCATGACCACTTGCACATTCTAATGAAATCCGAGTGGAAAGCTGCATCAAAAATATGTTGCATTAATTCAACAATATGACTATTATCACAGTCGTGTCAGACAATATTGAGAGTTATTTGGTAATATTTTTTTTTGTCATTCAAACCAGCTCTCACTGTGATGCAGTGCAGGTCGACACTACATGCAGCGCATATGAGCACGTCGACAGCTACCTTACACAAATCGGCAAGCAACCAGGATGTCGAGGATGGAAGTCGAAGAAGCACAGAAGGACTTCCAACCTTGCGAGGTGACCCGGGGAGCCCTGTCAGTCACTCTTGTCAGAAGGAATACCTTGGAGACAGACAACATTTTGGCTTAACATTTCAGCGGTCTCAGAGGTAGACGGAAGTTTTGGTAATGCGAGAAAGTGAGCGGCCTTTGAAAAGCTGTCCACTATTTTGAGTATGTCAGTGTTACCTCCTAACTTTTCTTTTGGTGGTGTACCACGAGATTTCTCCACTGTTAAATATGTGTCATAGTTGGGGAAACACCATAGTATGTGACTAGAAAGCACAAGTGCACATTCGACAACAGCCCTACTGCCCTATGGTTGTGACATAGACAATTTCTGACTGCACAAGCGCAATCGGCGCAATCATGCACATCAGCAATTATGCAGGGAGACGTTGTTTTCACTCTGACTTCATTCATGTGCTCCCTGCCTCTGTCCATATTGGAGGATCTGAACAGTTAATGAATGGATTGAGTTACTGCCCATAAAAGTAACACGTTCAAATGGATTTGCTGATCCCCTGACGTTTGGGACCACGCCAACCGCAATTTACATGTCTTTTTTTTTCTTAAGCACATGAGCTTGTAGCTTCTACGGAGCACTTATATCAAGTTCAGCCAAGAGGTTTGACCCGTAAATATTTTACGAATTTGCTTTGGGTTGCTGCCTGGTCGATCCGAACCCTGCACCCATTATGCTTCTCTCCGCTAGGCCGAGACATATGCAGCTGATCAATGTTGCCAGAAGAGATAAATCAAATGCAGAAGCGGAGTTCCAATCAGGATATGCATCAGCCTTGAATGAAATGAAAGTGTATTTTCCATTTAACAAAACACACGCCGCTGATTGCTTTTTTTTTTTTTCTTTCAAGCACTTCCAGGAGGTGACCAAGGCCACAAAGACATTTCAACAAGGTGACAGCGTTTTGCATCTCAACATTTTTTTTTTTTTACTTTTTTGAATGATCATATGTGACACATAATCAAATAAACATGGACCTTGGCTTACTCCTAGTAAAAATAAATAAATAAATAAAATTTTTAAAAAAGCAAGAAATGTGAAAAATGATGCTTGGTTCTCCGTTGGGAAAATGATTATGTGAGATTCATGTCATTCCCCAAGATGAAACTATGTGGAGAAGGTCTGGCATATTCACAGACCTTCATCACCAACACTCCACTCTTCATCCTTTGCCATTATGAAATGCAAATGTTATGTCACGCTCTTCATGCGGAGATAAATCTGTTGTCGTGTACGTCACTTCGGAGACACTCACGACCCCGCAACCGCTCAAACAATCACGCTTGTGTTCATTTGCACGCCGTTGACGGCTTCTCCTCAAGTCCTCCGCGTCCTGAACAATGAGTCGGAGACGCATAAAAGAGCGAGAAGCACATATTGGATTAAGGTTGTTCTGAAAATGCACTTAAAACACCGGGGCAGACTCCTCTTCAGATGAGATGATGATGACACTTCCAGTTCAAATGCTGTAATGTGTCTTTGTCTGCCTCAGCATGCATAAAATCAATCCAACCTAAGAGTAGCACCGAGTCCTCGCCTCCATCAGGGTATCAATCAATGTGCAGCAGAGATCCCCCCCCCCCCTGCCTGCAGTGGCACAGTGATATTCTTAGAAGCCAATTATTGAGCATGTGAAGACAGGGAAGGAAGGAGGGGCTGCAAATGCACACATTTGCAGCATGGTTGTTTAAATAAATTGGCCAGAGTACTTGTTTCTTTTAGCTCCTCATTATCAAGACAAATGCTCCTGCAAAAGCAGACGTCTACAGTTCACCCGGCAGGGGATATGCTACATCATCAAAATGACTCAAAAAGACTTGAAATATTTGTAATTGTTTTTTTTTTAATGTCTTTAAAAAAATTGACATAAATTATAGGCATGTACAAAATGATTCAGACCCATTTCCAATACTTGCATATCCAAGGATCTAAATGCATACATGTTTTGAAGGCTCTAAATTGTGAGGAAAACGTTTGTTTCGAATTGTGCAAAAGGTTGCTCTCAAAATTGTCAGAACATGAGTAGGAGTATTGTTAATTTTTTTGTTCATTTCATTTTAAATCATACAAAAACATGAAAATGTCAAATAGCTACGATAATTGTTACTTGAGACATTGCTCGCAGTGTTTCAAAAGGTTTAATCATGAATACGGGACCATTTTTTTTCTCCTTCAAATTTTCCGCTATTCCTTGTCAAAAACGGAACTAATTAGTGGTCAACCAGCATACAGAGACAAATAAACTGCTCAAAAAAAATAAAGGGAACACTTGTAGTTACATTTTTTAAGCGTTCCCTTTATTTTTTATTTTTTTGCAGTAGAGTCTTCGCCATGAGAAGTTCCGTTGTAATTAAGAACTCCTGCACTGAGCAAGTGGCTTTACAAAAAGTTGAACATCTTGCCGAAAATACTTCGCATCCACATTCACACAACACATTAAATGTGTTTAAACTGTCGTAACTTTCCGGATGTTCTTCGAGTTCCCCTCTGAAAGGTCGACTTGGGCGTGACCATCGCGATGTAAACACAGGCTGCTAGATGTTACAACATCAGGGACCTGAGGAACACAAAATGTGGAAAAGTTTTTTTTTGGGGGGGGGCAGGGGGCAAGGTACGTTTTTTTTAAATGCGCATTCATGTACTTCCGAGTCATGCGCGGCTGACTGAGAGGCGACACGACTTCGGGGAAGGAGAGAATTATGGAGGAGGACTTGGGAACCGTATATAAGATCAAGAACAGATTTTATGCCTTTGGATTTCAAGCCAATTTCAACGGGTGAAAACAATCCATGTTTGTTGTATTGTTACCCGGAAGATGACCCGGAAGTACATCAACGTGTATTTTTTTTTTAAAGCGTCCCCTTGAAAAAAAAAAATGCGTTATCTCGAAAAGTTTGCATTATCTCGTAATTTTTGTGAGGGAACGCAAAGTTTTTTTTCTTCCATGTCACCTTAGGGCGCCATAATTTATTAACCGACGCTGAAAAACATTTGACCAGATGCTCTACATCACATCTAGCGAGGACTGACTCTTGATTCAATTCAAGTTGGCTCGGTTGTGTGATGCTAATATGAAATCCACAAGCTACCAAAATGAGTAATTATTATTGTTGTAACATTGCACTACCCCCAAGGAAGCCCCCCAAACGGGGGCGGAATAGTAGCCGGGCCGCAACGGACAAAAGTTTGGGGACCACTGCCTATGTGTACACATCCAGATACTCATTAAATCTGCGGTTTGAGTCTGTCAATATTTGCAAACTGAAGAATTTTTCTTTCTCCCTGCTCTGTTGTTGTCTTTCTCTAGCTTACCTTCTCAACGCTGACCAAATCCTTCTTGCTATGAATTCCCTTGATTATCTCTTCGTAAACAGCATCTGCAAGGTGCGAGAAAATCAATTCAGCCGCATCTAACCTTCCAGCTTGCAGATCAGCTACTTTTGCTTGAGGTTTGATGCTTCTGAGAACTCTCGCGTTATTAACCAAACTCGTCGAAAATTTGCCCTGATATACACTATAGATGTAAAGAATTTACTGTATGTGAATTGAGCCTACGTTATGAAGAGAAAACAATTTTATTTTTCATCTAGTCCCCCGCCTACTGCCCGAAGACAGCTGGGATAGGCTCCAGTACCCCCCGCGACCCTAGTGAGGATCAAGCGGTTCGGAAAATGGATGGATGGATATTACTCGTGCGATCTATTTGTTTTGGTTTGGCAGAGAGACTTCCCCCTCAGACACTCTCACGTGACTCTGTTTCTAACCGAGCCGGCCAATCACATGACCACACACAAAGTCCCCATGGCCCCAAACAAAAGAACAGTTTTAAAACCGACACATTTTCGTGGCGCATGGCAGAAACAATGGAGGAAACGAGTTGACTTCATTTGTTATTTGACACGTATTATTGTTTGATTTAGATCTGAATTTGCACATTGCTATTTGATATTTTAGTTTCGTCATTCAAAAAAATCTGAAGGTATTCAATCCTGGAATTCTTTTTTTTCACTGAATATTTAGCTTCACTGAAGTAATTATTTTGAGGGCTATTAAACCTTCTTCTTAAGCAACAGTTGGCTTGCTTGAGTACAATTTTGGCTACTCGACCCACCTCTGCTTATGTTACTCTCACCTGTTGGGGCCTCACTCATAAATCCCAAATTGACCCTGCCACCAGCAGGCAAACTCTGGCCATTGTTCCGTTCCTCACACCTGCAAGTATCCAAACAAGCAAAGGTCACAATTAGCACAGAGCCACTTTAAAAAGAAAAAAGGGAGCCGCAAACATCTGAAACGATGAGGTTAACCTTTATATACAAATATATTTTTTTCTATTTTCTTCAGATATTTTTCTTTTTTTTTCCTCAGTTTCTGGCCGACCTGGGTTGAAAGTCTCGATCAATGTACGGCGTTTTGCCGGGCTGTCGGACAATGTGACGCATATTTTGAGCGACGAAGAATAATTTAATATATAAAATAATTTTAATTTTTTTATATTTCAAGATCACAATAATTGTACAATTTACAACCACAATTAAACAAACCAGCAAAAACAAATAAAATACTTAAAAATACTGCGGTTTTGGTTTCGCGAGACATTCAGCGCATGCCACCTGTCAAATCTGCCTGCTAACATGTCAAGTGCTCGCACAGGGAAAAAAAAAAAAACTCATGTTTCAGGTCACTTGATCCTCGATGCAGGCGTTGTTTCCAAGAGAAGCCAACTCGGGGCATGATGACATCAAGGGCTCTGTTTAAAGGGGTGCCCGTGAATGATATCTGTGCTGCTGCGAGTCAGTCTTCACCACGTTTTTGTTCAGTTCTATTGATTGACTCGTAACTTCTGTTCACTGGAGCAGAAGAATCGGCGTCTTATACCGCAGCTTTTGTACCTTGTTCCTCTCATTCAGCGAACAAAATTGATCTACATTTCTAACGTTCACGTTTAGCGCCTCTGTTGGTATATTGTTTCTGAAATTTTCCGTTTTTGAGGTCACGCTGTACTCTGGGAAAAGGTTGTAAAAGGGTTTGCTCTACGGATAAACGGTTTCACATTTCGAGTTTTAATCATCACTTCCACCGTATTTAGGACTGACAACGTGTTTTCCGGCTTCGGCTAATCCGATGTGCATTGCAACAGGAAACAAATGGAGAAACAAGAAGCATTACTCTGACAGCAAATAAGAATAAGAAAATTTCGGCTGTGCTGCCAACTTAGCAAATTTGATGCCATATTGAGCAACTTCAACGACCTTATGTCGCAACCGGTGTTCAAAAAACAACAAATCCAGCAATTTTGAACTATCTTAATGAGCTTGTTCCTTTTAGGAATATCGTGATACAACGGATAACAGTGATAAAACATTTTCAAACAGATTCATCTCTCATTGGGAACAAACAATTTCCTCACAAAGGAGTCATTTATCATAGGCCTTGTATTGTTTTCATCATTAAGTGCCCTGTCAGTAAGGAACATGTTTTACGAGACTCAGTCCTCTCTCTGGACACACTAAAAAATGTAGTTCAGCTGTGGAGAAAACCGCTGACAAATATAATGGCCGCTATATCTGCCACGAAGCCAAAATAAGTTCATGATTATTTCGTGCAAGCTATTTTAAAATCACAATTTATTTGCTCCAAGCAACAATAAAAGTACTCTGAATTTTAAAGAAAGCCATATTGGCAATCATTTGCTTCCGCACCAGTTTTGGAATCCACTGTTAAAGGAAGTGCACATCCAAAGACATTTGAAATCTTACCTTATTGTGTCCTGTGAGCTTCTCTCTGAAGGACAAACAGACAGGGGGATTTTTTTAGCACAGAAATTGCAGAAATTAAATTCCCGTGACATTCACCGTAGAGCAGTGGTTCTTAACCTGGGTTCGATCGAACCCCAGGGGTTCAGTGAATCGGTCTCAGGGGTTCGATGAAGCCTCTGCCATGGAGGTTAAGACATACCCGACTCAACATGTCAATTAGTTATGAAACGCCCGCTTGGCCATCACTAGCTGCAGATGATCACATGACATTGCTTGTCCAATCAGTGCTGCGGGAAATTTTGTTGGCTCAGTAGTCAACGTGTGACTGTCGTGATCGTACGACATGCACGGTTCATTTTGTGCACAAACTTATGTTTTGAAATTGTATTTTCTTTTTTTTGTTTTTAATAATTTGGAATTTGTAAAAAAAAAAAAAAAAAAAAATCAGATTTTCATTTTTCACTAATGAAGGGTTCGGTGAATGTGCATTTGAACTGGTTGGGTTCGGTGCCTACAACAAGGTGAAGAACCACTGCCGCGGAGCAACTATGCCTTCTCGGGGCATCGAGAAAATAGGACCTCTATAAAACACAACGGCAATTATTAGTTTTGGATTCTGCTGTAATAGCCTCCAGTTAGCAGAATGTTCCTGGGTTCTGTCACAAGGCTTCAACATCATATAACAAGGGTGTAGACAATGTTAGCCCCATGAGGCATATAAAACAGTGACTGTTTCGGCGAGAGAAACTGCCTTTGCCATTTTATTATAAATCCCCCCCTGCTCAAGTCTCTGAGGGAAACCAGAGCAGCTCATTGTCTTTTTTTTTTTTTTCAAAAATTCCAAAGCACACATTACTCTTACATATGGCTTGATTAGAGAGAGCGACAAAGCACCTTCATTGAGATGCAAACCATTCCTCCTGCATTTCTTGCGCTCAAGCTTTGAGATGTAAGAATGAGAGTCAGTGAGGCATATAATACCGTGACTGTTTCGGGGAGAGAAACTGCCTTTGCCATTTTATAATAAATCCCCCCCTGCTCAAGTCTCGGAGGGAAACCAGAGCAGCTGATTGTATTTTTTTTTTTTTTCCAAAATTCCAAAGCACACATTACTCTTACATATGGCTTGATTAGAGAGCGAAAAAGCAACTTCATTTAGATGCAAACCATTCCTCCTGCAATTCTTTCGCTCAAGCTTTGTACAGGGTCCTATTCTTCTAGTCATTTGAATACATTTTGAATGCACATATTTCAATGCACAGAAATCAGAAAGGGGTCAAATACTAGTTCACAGCACTGTCTATTAAATGAAATGTATTGAATTATATACTTTCTTTTACCTCATCTGATGTGGCTCATCTATTTTAATATTATATGTCATGGTGCAATCTACGTATGTATGTGTGTAATATTATCCGTTCGTTTTGGCTCTCGTTCCGAATTCAAAACCATTTCTCTGCTGCTCTCCCATATTTACCTTTCACTTTTCATTCACTTCAAACCAGTTACATGTCCAAAAATGCTCACATAAAAGTAGCCATACATTTTTGCTGACAACTGATCTTTTCTCTATACAGTCAGTAAAAAATGTTGCGTGTCCTTGTTGAAGGCCAACGTCACAGAGTGTGACCGCCTTGCTTCTTCATTATACTTTAATCAACATGTCTTTACAGAAATGAGAAGGGGAGAGGTGATACTCCACCCCCCTGCCCTAAGCGATTCAAAGAAAAGTGCATACTTGCTTGTCTCCTTTCTCTGTACCAGAGGACAGTGCAGATGCAGAGCAGGAGAAGCAGGAGAAGCGCGGTGAGGGAGGACGTTACCGCCAATGGGACTGTGCAGTCATCTTCATCCTGCACCACCTCGGCAACTGAGGAGGGAAGGTCACATTGGAAAAAAAAAAAGAGGAAAACTTGTTGTGTAAGTTGGCTGCTGTTTCATAAAAACAGGCCATGAGAACTGCATGAACAGAATAAATATGATGCTCTTCCTCACTGTGTGATTGCTATTTTATTTTGAGAGAAAAAAAAATTCCAAATTGCATACACAACAGAAATCCAGTGATTTATTACAAATGTTCTTAAGTAAAAAAAATAATAATGTGGCAGACTCACAGTAAAATCAACACATGTGCTTGATTTTCACTGAACAGCCCAGTGGCGATCTTTACAGTTTTCTCACTGAGCCTTGTGAATTTGCGCCTGGCAACAAGCAGATGCGCCGCCATGAAGTACTGCCACATTGTTTTTCCCTTGAAAGAGGTTCGACAGGACATTCTTGGCTGCCGCTTTTATATGACGCCAGTGGTGTCTTGAGGAGGGAAGGTCACATTGGAAAAAAAAAAAAAGAGGAAAACTTGTGGTGTAAATTGGGGCTGCTGTTTCATAAAAACAGGCCATGCGAACTGCATGAACAGAATAAATACGATGCTCTTCCTCACTGTGTGATTGCTATTTTATTTTGAGAGAAAAAAAAAAATCCAAATTGCATACACAACAGAAATCCAGTGATTTATTACAAATGTTCTTAAGTAAAAAAAAATAATAATGTGGCAGACTCACAGTAAAATCAACACATGTGCTTGATTTTCACTGAACAGCCCAGTGGCGATCTTTACAGTTTTCTCACTGAGCCTTGTGAATTTGCGCCTGGCAACAAGCAGATGCGCCGCCATGAAGTACTGCCACATTGTTTTTCCCTTGAAAGAGGTTCGACAGGACATTCTTGGCTGCCGCTTTTATATGACGCCGGTGGTGTCTCACCTACTGTCAGACGAATGCTGCTCATCAGTGGCACAGGCAGGGCGGATACTGAGACCAGACAGTCAACACATGAGCTTTTTTTCGCAGTCATGCTGAGGTTGCTGCTCACAGCGAAGAGACTCTTTCCCCTCTGTACACTGCTGAGGTTGTATTCACTCTGGCTCAACTCCACACCATCGCCCAGACAGACAAACACATCATTACTTGCTGCATATTGCCACACTGAAACCATTTTCCGAAACAAATGGCTGCTTTTGTCTCTAAATCAACCATGTTCTTATCTAGGCCAATTCTGAATGTGTTGCAAACAATTGGCACCAAGATATTTCAGGGTGGCAGAACACAAGTCATTAGCACTGGCCTGAAGAAATCCAGCTGGCTACTGTGTAAATGTCAGAAAACAACGTTGATTAATCCGAGCAACAGAAAGCTGTGCTAATAGCCTTCTTAGATCACAGGAGGAAACCCCAACCATATCCTAAGAGACTGTCATGAAAAAAAAAACATCAGTCATCAAAAGAACCACTCGGTGGTACAGTAGGCTCGGGTCATTTACAAATAATGGTAGTAGGCTAGCGTTTAGGGTACATCTACCATGACCGAGGTCTAGGCATTGTGTTTTTTCTTTTTTTGCTCTCACCTGAATTAATAAGACATTTACCCTGTTTAATCAATGGGTCTGCCTTGGTCAAATGACATGGAAGAGTTTATTTACTAGTGGCGCCATCGGACAATGCTTCAGCTTTTGCCAGCCAGAAAAACATGTGACGTTATGGTCTTTAAATATGCCAATCATCTTCTCTTCAACTTTCCTAGATTTATTCATTGAGTTGCGTGTCACCATTGCTCTTCAGTCCAGCAACAGGCAATGCTGCTGGAATCGGTCCTCTGCCACCGCTGTTGTTAATTGACTTAATTCTGTGGCCAGTGGAATATTGAAGGCATCACACTTAACGGGTATGACAGTTGGGTTGTTGCAAAAAAAAAAAAATGCTAATCAGACATGAGTATCTCATTTGAACTGACAGTGGGATAACGAACATTTTGAGCATGTATGATTCTTCTAGTTTGTTTACCTTTTTACCGTTGACTTCCCAATGCAAAGAAGGTTTGGGGTACCATCCCACGGCATCACACTCAAACTGGACCAACTGCCCTTTCAAAGCTATTGCGTTGCCTCCAAGGACTGTCACGGTGCCTGTTTCTGAAATCAAACAACAGAACAGGTACAGTCACACACTTGCATATGTGGAGGAACATCAGTCCTATTTGCAATCACATAATTTAGGCTTTTAGCCATAATTTGGGAACCCACATTATTGCACTGTGATTTCTCTCAGGAATTGAAGACTTTAAATTGTCCATGCGTGTGAATGTGAGTGTGAATGTTGTTTGCAAGTATTACAACGGGTGCTCTAAAAAAAGGGTTTAGCACTGACAGCGGCCATGTGTGTGTAAAAGATGATCAGCAACAGCACCTCGGTAGGCCTGTTCACCTATAGGAAAAAACAGACGCGGCTGATTGATTGAGCACCTTAAAGTGTCAAAAGCCTGACCAATGCTTTTCATTTTCCCCTCCTCATCTAACACCCTGCCAGCCAAATAAGCCTCTATGGTGCACAGAGGTACAGTGTGTTGTCAGGCAAAATGAGTGGCAGAGGCAATGACTATTTGATTGCTGAATTTGGAGTCATAAAGGAAATGATACACTTTTCAATGTGGGCTTGGGATGTATTTAAAGGGTGGTGAGAGCAGATGTTGGCATGCGACCAGCAGCCTTGTTCCTCATGACTGATGAGAGGCTGGGCGCTGTTATAAGTCATTACCCGCTATAGGGTGGTTTACCTTTCATGCCCCTGCTAAATCATAAAAAGTTTTTGGAGAAACATACGCTGCCATCCAAGCAACATCTTTTTCATGGACACCCCTGCTTATTTTAGCATCTACAGTAATGCCAAACCACATTCTGCACTTGGAACAACAGCATGGCTTCGTTGTAAAAGAGTGCGGGTACTAAACATTGACCTGCCTGCAGTCCAGACCTGTCTCTCATTGAAAATGTGTGGCTAATTATGAAGTATAAAATACGACAATGGAGACCTCAGACTGTCTCATCTCATCTGAGATATGCCATTTTCCTGAGCCTGAATCATGCTGTGTCAGCAACAATATTCAACATATTTCAGTACATCATGTATTTGTGATTCAAGGAAATACGCTGTCTTTTAATCACCATAACATATGGAATTGTACGTACAGTATGCATAAACACACACACATACACACACCATACATCAATCCATTTTCTAATCCGCTTATCCTCACAAAGGTTGCGGTCATGCTAGAGCCTCTTTAATTCCCATCATAGCACTGTTTCTGTCAGCGCCACAAACTGGTCATAATTAGATGTAATTCTTCAGTCCTTTCAAAGAAAACTACAAAACAGCTTGAAACACAAAATGCATGTTTTTCTCTGGTTGTGCTCATATAGTGAAGCAGCAGAAGTGAGTGGGTGGCTACAATTATAGCAACATTTGCGACTTTTTTTTTTTTTTTTTGCTCCTCATCAAGGTTATATTCAGTGTGTTTTGCAACCGTTAGCAGTGCGGTGGGTTTCAGTCTTGTACTTCTATATGCAAGGAGATGAAAAGCTGAGGCAATCTTTTTTTCTGTGAAATTTCAAATATCTTCCCCTCAGAAACCTGATCTCGGTTAACCATTACACTGTCAAAATGGACTCAATAGTTTTGCAGTCTTAAAACCAAAAAAAAAAAAAAAAAAAAAAAAACCTTATAACATCAGTATTAAACAAGATCAATAAAATCTAACCATCATTCGTCATTCACCGAGCTGCCCATCCGTTATCATCAGTTTGTCATTATGTCAAAGCAACCAAATCTGTCATCGTCAGTCCGCCACTACATCATTGTTATTGTAGTGATGATTCCCGTGACGGATGAAAATGCATTTCTGTCGGTACATGGTTTATCAGTTTTCCGTCATTTGTCACACGTCTGTCAGTGATGGACTGACGGAACTTCCGTCAGTCCTAGCTAGCTAGCTAGCTAGAGCTAGCTAGACATATAGATTTATAGATATGAAAAAGGGCACAAAAGTGATGTTGACCTTGAACGAAGAGACTTGCTGATTTCTTGTCATTGCCCTCGAGGTTACAGCTCACTTGGCCCTCATGGAGCCTCTCCACACTCTTGAGAACAAACACCCAACCATCTCCATTCTGGCTTTTCACTGCCGTCACATTGGGAATTGGGGAGGAAAGCACACCGTGAATTCTGGAGATGGTGACCACCACTGTGCTGTTCAGCTCCCACAGCATCACATCCCACTTCGCACTCTGGGCAATGCAGGTAAAGCGGGCCTCGTCCCCAGAAAGCACAGTCAAGTTGATGGGCGACAGCTTTAGTAGCGTGGAAACTGCAAAACATTCAACGGAGAATATTAAAGTTATGGTTTTTCCACATTTCAGAAAATTAAACTATTGCTATATTACACCAGTAGTGTACAATAGCAAGTTTAGTTTCGTTAAGTTGATCAAATCTGCAGACTGTATATTATGTAATTACGCACGACTAATGCATTCAACCCAAATTTCTGTTAAAAAATAAAAAAGAAGAGTTGTTCAAACAAGAGTTGCCTTGACCTCAGCATATGACCTCAGCATATGATGGTAACACAGAAGGTTACCAATGTCATCTCTGTCCTGGCTTCTTAGTCCATTGGCAATCATAACAAAAGCAGACTCCACACTGAATCCCTGCATATTCACAACAATAAAAACATTGATCTGTCCCCATCTGGTGCCATCTTGGTGCCAGGGAACTATGTTGAAGTGAGTTGATGAGCTACATTGAAACAAAAGTCATTTTTATGTATTTTTACAGTATATGAGTAAGTCCGAATTGATTAAAAATCAATACATTTGATTTATATAGCAGGTGGGTCTGGAACATATGCCTGACAATAAAAGGAAGTTCACCGTTGGAATAGAAGGAAAGTAGCTCACCTGCAGGGTACAAGCAGCAGGCATAAATCATTTTTTTCATTTTACTATGAACTAATTGTTACACATATATTACAGTTAAAATGCGAACAACAAAGGCATCTACAGATAATAATCGTTTCATGATGGCGCCAGTTGGACTCTGAAACAGATCCATTCTGTTCCAAGAAATTCCATTTCCGATATGGCAAAATGGGTATGTTCTTCCCTATCTGAAAAATAAACTTTTGGCAAGTTTTCCACAATGGACTGTGTTCGACAAGAGGTTCCACTCTACATTATGAGGAGTCCCTCATAAAAGGCGAAAGCAAGCTCATATCGACGCAAAAAGAGACGTGGACAAATTGGTTTATGCTATGGTGGTGATGTATAACTCCTTTGCAGTGAACTTGGCATACAGGATCATAAATTATGCATCCATTTAGGAAATGAGGCCTGCGGAAAAGAAAAAAATCTGGGCCAAACAAACAGTTTATTGCAAACAGAAAATGGCACACTAATGAGCATCATTTGAGCCTACTCCTATTGGGAATAAAGAACCAGTGACAGTGAATTCCCATGGCCACTGTTTCCATCTTACTGATATTATATGGAAGAAAATTCATAACAAAGTGCAGCGAGATCATTAGTTGCTCCTCTAACTAGATGGCCTGTGGGTGGAAACAGAAGTAGTGCCGCACTTCAACACGAGCGCTGTGGCTGTTAATGCATATTTCACTGGCCTCGTGACATTCCCATCATCACCGGTCAGACAGGCAGCAGTTAACTTTATACTCACCTTGAGTGCTGCACAACAGAAGAACCACCAGCAGAACAAAAATGTCCATAATTATGCATCTCAATGGAGGAAATCCATTAATCACTGCAGAGGGGACCTGGAAATCCGACAGTCAATGACTACATCAACGCAACGATTAGTATTCATCTTGGTTGTAACATTTTTTTTTTTTAATCAACTCAACCTACACTGTAAAGCCAAAACATTAGGTAAGCCTATGCATGCTAATGAGATGCATCAATATTTCTGCCTTTAAAAAAATATTACGTTATTATTCTGGCTGTGAGGCTCATAGGAATCCACACCACAAGCACACTCTCCGAAAGCATCAATCAAAACTGAGCAACCTTATCAAAGTACTACACATGTGCTGGATCATATTAGATCATATTAGAAAGATTATAATGTGCCGGTATGAAGTGTCCCGTGAGTGTGAATCCATATCTAATCAGGCAGAAAAGTATTGCACATTAAAGACAGAATAATTACTCGACAATAATAAAACTGGCTATAAAACAATGCATTCCTATGGCGAGTAACCTGAAGGTTTAATTAAAGCAATGGGAAAATGTGGCCTCTTAAAGGACTGTACAGTCATTCCTGTGGGGAAATTAAAATGACATGGTGTTTCCCATAAAATGTTGTTCATCTTGGAGTAAATTCCTTTTTGCAACTGGGAAAACACAAACCAGTCAACTCCATACACAACATATAATCATTTGTGACTCAGAATGTGTTGCCTCTGGTAAAAGTAACCAATGTGGCGTTACATTTTGTTATTCATTTTAGTTTAGTTTTTTTTGGAGATGATTATTTCACATTTTTATGTATCTTGTTATTATATTGCTTTTCTTTTTTTCTGTTATAATTTTAAACTTTGTTGTAATGCATAGAAAGATTAGCAAAATATGTACAATCAAAACACAATTTTTCCCCTAATTTTACAGCGCAACACTCAAATTCTAATGTGCCTGTACAAAATGACAATAAATCAACATTGTATTCTAATGAAAATTAGGATTAAATGAGTTAAAAAAAGAATAACAAATAAAAAGTAAAATAAAGATGTATTGTAGTGCGTCTGACTGACCTCATTGTCATTGTGGAACAGCAGACGGAATCGCACGCGCTAAATATATTCCAATAATACGCTACTTCTATATGTGTGAGGCTCCGCGACATCACCCAAAAAAGTCCGGTTAAATATTAGCAAAATGAACTTTGCCCAGCGACACCACACACACACACACACAAAGCACAGTGTGACTCAGACAGCAAACAGTGGCCCTTGTATCAGCACACTTATCACGGGGCATAAAAATAAAAGCCAATTAGAGAATGGAACCCCCACACTGGATAATGCCTGCATACATTGTACACCACACTAAAAAGGTTTAATTGAAAATCATAATTTGTCAACTTTGTGAAAGCTCTCAGATCGGATTTTAGGAGATTGATAAGTGTGAGAGAACAAAGGTTTCTTTGCTGAAGTGAGGAAACAGCCTTCCGTTGTCAAAGAGCCCATACATCATTCTGCTCAGTGAAGGTCAGTCGGCAAAGAAATATTTACTGTAGAGATGGGGGGGGGCACACATACTGTAGTTGTTGGGGCGACTTTCGGCTTGTCCCATCTGGGGGTGTGGGGGTGGGAGAGTGTTCTCTCGAAACTTTCATACAGTTTGAGCCTCTGTTGTGTTACACTTGATAAAGTGCAAGTCAATTACTTTGACCAATTGCAGTGGGCATCATTTTGCGCAATGTGCTAAAATGACGTATGTGTATATTAAAACAATGTCTAAAAATTGATCCCCTAAAATAAATGTGGTGTGCATAAAATGGCTACAAGTCACTCATGAAAATGCATCTTATATCAAACCCACCAAATTACTTATTGATTGTTTTATTTGACATCCATCCATCCATTTTCTATACAGCTTGTTCTCATTAGGGTGGAGGGCGAGCTGGAGCCTCGCTGAGTTCAATTTGGGCAAAAGACGGGGTATACCTTGGACTGTTTGCCAATCAATCGCAGGAAACAGAGACAAACAAGATTCATGCTCACATTCACATATCGACAGTTTGAGGCTTCAATTCACCAAATAAGCACGTTTTTGGACATTCCATACAGGAAGGCCACAATTGAGAGCTCAAGCCTCGAACCGTGTGGCAGAGACGCTGGGGCACCGTACGGCTATTTCACATCCATTTCATGAACACTGTCAATGCATATATATACTTCTAGATCAGTGGTTCTTAACCTTTTTGGAGGTACCGAACCCAACCAGTTAATATGCACATTCACAAACCCTTCATGAGTGAAAAATAAAGTGATTAAGATATCAGCAAACAGCCACATGCAAACCAACAAACAACCGCCAACGAGAGGCGTTGATAATGATTCATTGATCGTGACTAAATGTAGTGTTTATGCTTTGATGTCACCGTTTTTTTTTTTGTGTTACAAAAATCTGTTGTTTACTGCGAATGTTGCCTAATTTGGATAGTTTTTGCTTAATTTTCATGAAACATGATTTGCATGTCGAAGGCTCTCTGCGATAACGTCTTTCCGGCTACTGTTGGGACATGCTTGAAAAGACAGATACTGCCTCATCAAAGCTGCAGCATCAAGAGAATCACAGTGCCATAACTTGATACTAGCATAAAAAAAAAAAAAAGAAATATCTAAAAAATAAAAATGATAATAAAATAGAGCCAATTCGGAAGGATCAAGTCATCCTAAAACTGTTGAAGCTTTCTTGATACCAAAATGTGAGCTGACCTGTGTCATGAAAACTGCCAGGCTCAGAATAGCGTTCCATTGATCTATAAATATGCAAACACTTACTAAATATAGCCAGCTAGTCATGATTTTTTTTTTTTAAAACCAGTTTCACTTTATTGGCTTTTCCATTGCATCTATGTCTTAGTCATATATTTCTTTGAACAAAGTGCATCGTTTCCGACAAACAGCTTTGCCAGAGGTCATCACAGTGATGGATTAGCTTGTAGCGTTTCAAGATGCGTTTTTGTCTTCCTCATTAGAAATCTTTGTTTGTCGTATCCATGCAGCGAGTGCGTTTGCATTGCACTGATAAAGCAACTGAAAAATAAAATTCAAAGCGGGAGGAAGTCTAAACCCCTAAACAGAACTTGAGGAAAGAAGAAACTGTATGCCAGGGTCAGTTTTTGTCTTTAAATGTAAAACGTGCGTTTGTCAAAATAACATTAAAGTCATATTTGCAGTGCTATGCTACTCTGCACATTTTTTGTTAGTCCGACAGTCAGTATCTAAATGTCAAATATAAAAATTCAATCTATCGCTGCAGTCAGAAGAGAAGAAAAGGCCATGGTGACTTTTCACTTGACATCTTCAAGCACAGGGCCAGTGTTTTGTTTGGTTTGTTTTCTTTGTTCCAATGCGGGTGCAGCGCCGCCTTGGGGGAGGAGTCAAGATGCTGCCGAAAGGAGCCGAAGTGGCCAATGGTCAGGGGTCAGGGACAGTTGTCACAGGAGGCTCCTTCAGGCTGGACAAACAGAGCAAAACAAAAACGAGGTCACTCATTTCCAAAGCGGATGTGATGGTGGAGGCAGCCGCCACCACTCTGCCAGCGCACCACCCAATCCAGCGACTCCTCCGCAGGCGCATCTGAATCTCAGTTGGCAGCTTCCGCTAACGCACTGTGACAGGGGCTCACATGGCTCAGGAGGGATTGCAATTTCTGCAAAGCTCGCTCTTCCAGAACCTGCATATTTCCTTGACTGGGTCATAACAGCCCAACATGCATAGACTAACTAAACGAGAGGCTCTGGAGAGTGTGATTATGTAGGATTGTTATCACCGCTGCCTCCCAGGAGCCCAAATTATTGAGACTTTTGTATTTTGTGCTCAATGAAGCTAGGGGCACGTGAGCTTCCCTTGGTTTCCATGAACCAAACTGACCAATGCTGAGATATATACAGTACTAACGTTAATGACGTGTCTTGAATAAAATGCAAAACTGAACACCCAGAGTTGGAGTTCAAACAACATTTTCTGAAAAAAATGTAAAATACAAACACGAGTGGGTACCAAAAAGTGTCAGGACGACCCGGCATGTGCACAGATAGACCATTAGTGGTACTACAGCGCCAGATGAGCAAAGTGCCCTTTGCCTCAGACATTTATTTTTTTTTTTTTGCCTTTATTCATCAATATTAGAAAAAGTGTTTGAATATGTCAGGAAGCGGTGATGCGGGTTTATGTCCGGGCTGCTCAGTACAATGACAATTATGTACACCCCAAAGGGAACGGTGCTTTGTCTTGAGAGACTCCGCTCTCTGGCACAGTTAGTATGCATCTGCACGTTCATCACCCCATTTATGACGAATACAAAATGTATTACTTGAACATGAAAATATTAACACCGGCTAACTTCATTTCACAATTAATAATATTCAAATTTTTCTTTAAACTTTGCATGCATTGTTGTGATGATGACTATAGTTTGACCATATAAGAGATTCAGTCCATGTCTGATATTTCTTTTTTTTTTTTTTTTTATGGGAGTAACTGATTGAGAATCTAATGGAGAAAAAAATACATGCCACGGTCACACATCAAACTTGTTACTAGGCAACCAATCAAATTGCTCTGAAGTCATCCATAATGGTCACATGTGGGGTCAATTTCCGCAAAGGCAGAAATTTTGATACGGCTCTATCATGGGATCAGATGTGTATGTGTAGCTCATGTACCACGATTGTCAATAAAACTCTGCTGTCACCCAGTGGTAGAGTACAGGAGATGGCATTTACCTAAAAATGGGAGGGCGTCCGTGCGTTCCCTTGGCTCAACTACTAAGCCTCTTCTTCCTGCTGTGAGAAACCAAGTTATATTGATGACAAAGTGGTTAGTGGATTATACTGATATTTGTACTAGTAGTCAATAATGACCTGTGTTTCTTCCAAGTATTCTTCTTCTTCTTCTCCCTGTTGGAATACAAAGAGGGAGCGAGAAAGGGCAGAAAAATGAATAGAAAGTGAAGCTGGCAGGACGGTAGAAAGGGTTGCATGTATCGTATTCATTCACTGCATATAAACAAAAAGCGGAGGTCACTAAAACACAACCCCAATTTATGTACAGATCTTGTTTCTAAGGTGGGGGACGAGTCGTTCTTTAATAAGACAATTTCTGAATAATGATATTTTATAGGAGTGATGCAGCATGGAAATGGCCAGAGGCGGTGGTCACCCATGCACATGTCTAAACAAGAAACAATACGCGTAGCAGTGGTCATCTTTTTCTTTTTGAATAAAGTAATCATTTTAGTCAAGAAAGCAGCATCTGCTGCTCACTGGGGGATGTGAAGTAGATATTTTGACCAAAACGAAAAGAGGTGGATTAAGCTGTGAGAGCATAAAGAAATGAACAAAAGGTACAACCTCTTAGATAAAACAACAACAACAAAAGGGAAAATAGATTTCCGCTTGTCTGTTCATGAGCACCGGCAGGTAAGAACTGCACAACAAACGCTCCCACCTGCCTCAAAACAGAAAAATAACATTGTCCCTGCAGTAAAAACGCATGCAATGTTGTCAACCCTTCAAACAAGACGCAGATGTGTATGAATTGGAGCCTTGGCAGAACTGAGGCAGATCTTATAATGTAACATAATTGATAGGTTTTAAGAAGAGGGGACGAGGTGGAGAAACTGTTGTTCAAGGAGTGTCTGATGAATTGGAAACTAGGAGAAAAGTTGGAATGCGAAGAGCGACCAAAGCTAAGTTAGACAATAAATAAAGAAGTTGTGTTTCTACCTCAAGCTGCCGTAGCTCCTCCTCCTCCTATAAGAAATAACAACAGTCTGCAGGTTAACAGGCTTTGGGGAGCAAAAGAGCAGCAGAGACATGTGCTATTGATGAAGGTGTCCACATAAAAAATAAAAAAAAAACTGATGGGATAGTTGAAGTTGTCAGGAGGCACTGATGGGACTAAAATGAAGAAGATTGGGTTAGAAGAGAGGGAAAAAAAGAGGGGAAAAAACATGGAAAAAAAAGAGTTAAGAAAAGTGATATCAAGACGGATGGGAGGAAAAGAGCACGACAAAAATCCTCGTAACGTCATAGCCTGTCAAGAACGTCAAACCCACACGAGATGACTGGTTTTTTTCGGGGCTGCAGAAAGGGATGATGGCCAGTGCACAATTACCTCTGACCGCAAATCCTCTTCCTCCTGGGGCAAGCAAACCAGGAAATGGACATGAGGCCACACACAGCGTGCATGAAGAGGCGGAAAGAGGTTGTGTCAATAAAGTTATGAAATACAAGCGAGCTGCAGATAAACGTGTTTAGTGTACCTGCGTTAAGACGAAATGGCTGTTGCATGTCAATTATGTCCTTTGAATGCATGTGTGCATACTGAAATAATGTGATTACATTATTGACCTATTTCCTAATGTATTATTATCCGTGGTGTGTTATCATAGTGTTTGAATGTGCCGTGACAATGTGGCAACTAATCACAGTGTAACCTCAAATGCCCATGAAGTTCGGAATTCAACAAAAAATGCCCACCCACCGAAAAAAATCAGAAAAAAAGTAATTTAAACTGATCTCATTCATAAAAGCTTATGCCCGTTGTAAGGGAAATTTTCTTTTTTACTGTATGATAGTCAATATCTGGGCACACACATAGACGACCATCCTTCCGCGCTCACACTCACACCTGGGGACGAATTTAGAGCGTTTCATTAACCTGCCATGCAAATTTTGGGAATGTGGGAGGAAACCGGAGTGCCCGGAGAAAACCTATGGAGTCAAGGGGAGAACGTGAGAACTCCACACAGGAAGGCCGGAGCCGGAATCGAACCCTGCACCTCTGCACTGTGAGACCCACTCTACACCGTGCCGCCTCTGAGAATCAACAATTCTCTGAACGGCAGAGTAATGCATACCCGCAATGTGGTTCATTAAATTGGAAGGGGGGCAACCAGAGTGGAAGGTGGTCTCCAGGTACACATTTTCACAGCGGTGAACTGCATTCGCTCTGGTACATTCGCCAACTGGTGGAGGTCAGCTTACAGTTCCTTATAAACGTACTTTGCACACTTCAATCTTCTGCCTTGAATCCAGCGAGTCTATTTCTGCTTCCGCCATGTGAAACACTGTGCGCTTCTCATGAGAGAAATTTAATGGGAATGAGAGGAGCTGCTTCCATTGGTCGCAAAGCTGGTAGGCTGTGTTCATGCCTACAATGGCGCAAACCACTTGTACCAAATAAAATACAGTATACCAAAACAAAGAAATCCCGGGCCTTTCTTACAATAAGACTGCACTACACACCACTGTGCTGGGCACAAATATAGAACCTTAAACTTTTTGTTTTGATTTTCCAATAACTGCCATATCGCAGAGGGAAAAGCTTGTTGGAGTATCTTTTATCAGCGGATCGGTTAAAAGTGGAACATGCGACACATTAAAACAGCACAAAGAGGAAGACATTCACCGCATGATCTTTTTGGACATTAGAATCAGTGGATTGTTACTTTTTTTCTTTCCAATACTCATTTTATCCAGCCATTATCTGAACTGGTTATATTGAAAAGAATTGTGACTGAATGGTGTTGTGCTTTCACTGCTGCCAAATGCAGTTTCCCCAAATTGCCAAGGTAACGGGGGAGCAAGGTATAATTAGTTTCTAAGAATGGAAATTGGCCAATAAAGGACAAGAACATGGGAATTCTTTTTCCAGAAACTTTAAAAGCAAAAATAACATACCTGTTCTTCATCTTCCTCTGCATGACCCTGTTAACAGAAAGACAACATAGGTTTTGTGATGAACATGAACCAAATGGAATCACGCACAGCACACTCTTTGTGATGACCTGTTGATGCGGCTTGAAGAGGAATTAAGGATTTTTTAAAAATATAAAATTGGCATTAAGACATTGAAGAGGAAAAACACAAGTAAAACAGTGAAATATCCTCATTCTTTTGACTCTAAGAATGAGAATGTTTGTGAATTAGTGAAAAAAAAAAAGGAAAAAAAAAAGTCAAACTCAAGAGAATTGAATGGGTAGGGCAGTCGACAGGATCCAGGAAAGACAAAGGCTTAGTCAAGAAAAAAAAAGGACCTTAAAGGGAATTTGCTGATGCTGAAAGTGAAAACAGAGAATTTTAGGAATGTTTGGATAAGGAAAAAAAAAAGTCAAACTCAAGAGAATTGAATGGGTAGGGCAGTCGACAGGATCCAGGAAAGACAAAGGCTTAGTCGAGAAAAAAAAAGGACCTTAAAGGGAATTTGCTGATGCTGAAAGTGAAAACAGAGAATTTTAGGAATGTTTGGATGAAAAGCAAAATAAAGTTAGAGGTCATCAGTTACTGTATCTTCGGGTTCTTCATCTTCTCCTCCTTCAGTGGTTTCGTTTCCTTCAGGCTCCATTTCCTCCTCAAGACCTTCGCCTTCCTCTGTGTCCTCCTGGTCTCCATGTACGTCCCCATTACGATCTACCTCTGGAACCTTTTTTTTTTTTTTTGTAATAATGTGAAAACAACAAACTGGTGATGAGGTTTCAATAAATTAGGTTTGTTAGAAAGCAAATGCAAAGTGAGTGGCACGCACGTCAGCTGGATACAGTCTGTAAATTGAAAAAAAGGCATTAGTGCACACGAAAAGAGAATAAAAATTAAAACATGTAGACGCAGATCACACAAGAACATGGTCAGCTAATAAAAATCAAATCCCATTCCCGTTTGTCATGTTACTTGTATAACCTTGCCAAGAACTTCTAATATATGTGCATCACATTACTTTTTTTTTTTTTAATCGTTAGCGATCACTCACATCCCAAATTGAAAACATCACATGTCGTTGCTTTACTGTCGTTAACTTGGAGCAACGGAAACATGTGGATGTGGACGAAGGGTGTTGGAAACACAGCTCCACATCATTGTGAGCACAGTGATGGTGTATTTAGTGGTTGTGAATTTCAAATGTCTCAGCCACCGAGTAACACAAAAAGAGGAGTTAACGTGAAGACTGGACAGGTGCACCTGAAGGAGCGTGAGAGTACGATCAAGCTGACAGGACGTGCGGTTTGGACAGCAAGCAAGGAAAGCAGGGCGGATCAATGAAACGTTACTATGGATTCATCTTGGGTTCCCTCCTCGGTGGTTTCTTCAATGTGAGTGCCGTTCTCCATAATGTGTTCTTCCTCGTCAGCCTGCAGTGCTTCCTGCGTTGAGGAAAGGATTCGAGTCAACAGCACGGCAACATGCCAACCGTTTGGAAAGTTCGGGAGGGACAGTGAGTTCCACTTGACAAATATGGACTCCTCATCGAAACAGTACCACCTTATTGAAATATTACTCAGCGGAAAGAACCTCAAAACCTCAACGGCATTCTTTTTGCATTTCCCAGTAAGAGTAAAAAGTTGGCTCTAAAATACAAGCTGAACCATGTCACTTCTTCTGCGTGTTAGTTAACTGCTGCTGACTCCAAAAGGAGACCTTAAAAAAAAAACACGGTCTTGAAGGAATGAGTATTCCGCCTGACGCCAGGAATACACTAACACACAGTAGCAGTGGTATGGTTCAGGTGGGAGAGTGGCTGACTCCCAACCCGAACCTCAACGCTTGAGTGATTTCATTTACTCAAAAACTCTCCTTGTAAAATTTATTTTTCTCAGTGAAAAAAATTGAGTACTATTTTGAAGTAAATATCACTCCACATTTTTTTTCAATGTATCGCATACACAGACAATATTAAACATGTTTCAGCTCTGCTCAGTAATCCGCATTTTCAACATACCGGATATCGATGATAAAAAAATCAGCTAATAGTAAGTGCTTGCCACAATTAGCCAAAATTGCACTTCAATGCAAGAGCTGTTTCTAAAACTAGGCCCTTATAAAGGTTGATTCGATTTAGATTGAGACATTCACATATTGATTGTTCAAAACTGCTGGTGTTTTTGTTAAAGATGAAACAAAATGATTATTTTAAGGACCACTGCAGTGTTGAGAGAAAATGAAGTCATGACAAGAATTAGAGTCTTGACCTTTGAACCAGGAGGAGGGGCCAACCCCAGGAAGGCATATACAGAGTTGTCTTCCTTGGCATCAAAGAACGTCTCATAGTCCTGAATAAAAACATCAAATTATTGATCAACAATTACTTTCGTGTGGTATAAATAATGTAATCATCACATTGGGTGTTGCTATTTTACACGGACCCCACAGTAGCTCTCTTCATTGAAGATCTGAGGGGGAAGTGGGATGCCATTGGAGGGTTTCTTCTCCTCTGGTACATTCTGCCTCATCCACTTGCGGTTCTCCTCATTGCAGGCAATGTCCAGTTGAGTGTAGTCCACCTTCAATGCTTCCAGGAAGCCCACCACATCTTGTTGCTTCTTCTTGATCTGGAATTAGAAGAAACAAATTCACTTTCTTTGACCCAGAGAACCAGAGGTCCAGCACAGTACGAAAACAAAAACAAAAAAAAAAGGATTTCTCAAATCTTTTTTTTTGTTTTTGTTATATATATTTTAGAGCAGTAACTCAAAGTATGGTAGTAGTACAGGGGTCACCATTTTTTTTTTAAAAACGGCTACCAGTACTATACTATTATCTATTTCAACAACTTGTTTATTTATTGTACAGATGGCCCCTAATTGGGACCAGCCAAGCCCACAAATAGCCAAAATGTGTGTATAATTGCTGCTTATACATGCATTAGGGAAAAAAAAACAAACTCTAAATTAAATTCTTCCAAAAGCATTGCTAAACACTGAATACATCTTTGGGGGGGGGGGGGGTTACCCCCGCAAAAAAAAAAAACTATTTGGGGAAAAAAATTAATCTGACTGTATAAATCGGCATATTATAATACAACTGATCACCTATTTCGCATAAAATGCTAAATATCCAACTATTCGATCCAGCCGATCGATGAGTTTTGTTTGGTGGTGTGCCCGCTTTTTTTTTCTAATATGAACTGTTTTATGTGCTTTGGCTCAATAAAGGTTGGGAAATGCTGGGAAGCACCACCGTTGGCTTTCCTCGTTCATGCAAACAGGCCTGAGCACGAGCAGAATCGGACAACACAACAGCGCCTACTAAGAGGGGTGCTGGTCTTCACCGCCCCCCACCCAGCCTAATTAATTGCCAAAAAGTGATCCATTCACGAACGTGGGAATTCGGTTCCGTAATGAGAACGTGAGGTCCTTGGTCGAGTGCGCTTTGCTTGCATGTGTTGATCTTTGTCAAATTGTTGAAAAGCGACTAGCGCTGCATTGCGTTTGGAAGAATACAGCAAAATTCGCTCCAAAGAGACTAACACAATTGTAAGGGTCCGAACTTACCGCCGTGGATCCCGATGAGGTGGCGAGAAACACTTTGATAACCATTGTTACTTTTTTTTTTTTTATTGGAGTAAGCAACAAGTAGGCTCTGAAAGGAGAAGTTAGACTCCCTCCTCTATTATTAGAAGTAGCAGCCCGACACGCACGCACACGTGCACGAACACACAGCGTTGAGGGTTATTTTTGCCACTGGGCTCCATCACTGAACGATTGGTGGCTTGTCCCCCAAGAGCGGTGGCACTGATTGGCAGTTTGAGCTGTCAGTTGGCCACAGGGTAGCAAAGTTAGCCTGCAGCTCCTTGGTGAGCATACATGGACAGAAATAGCAACGTCTGCGCTCGGAGTCTTTGTTTTTTTGTTTTTCCTTTCTTGGCTTTTTGCGCAGGTCAGTCACTGAAATAAAAGGATTTAGATTTTGTTGTTTGTTTTTCTTTGCATCAGTCAATGCAGCATTTCTCAGAGGTGAGCCTGAGGCCAAGCAAGGGACTTCACAGAATCATGAAGAGATTTGCTAAACAATATCAAAATATTGTTTAAATCAAAGTAACAATATAATCATGATATTGTTTTACAAATCTGTCACATCCTAAATGTTCTTTCAGTTTTCTGGGAGTTTGTTCCAGACATATGGAATATAGAAACTGACGGCTGTGTTACGGGTGACAAAGGTAAAGGCAGCAGGGGGTCCAAAAGGAAGGACAATAGGTGTTGGGGCAAGTGGTCCATTGAGGAAAACGCAGAGCCAGGCTGGGCAGGGAGGCACTGGAAAAAGACAACCAAGATCAAATGGTTTGCACAAAAATGCCCAAAATGGCAAGCGTGTGTACTACTAACTGCCTAGACACCACTCGTAATGCAAGAATCATCAGGCACCCGCTTACAGATCAGCAGTTCTTATATGCAGGGCGTGTTTGCTGATCAGCTGCAGGTGTGGGGAACACCGTCTGGACCAGCCTGATAATTAAAGAGAAACAGAAGGTCCCCGGAAGTGGACTCTCCAAAATAAATGAGCAAGTGATATAAAAAACACATAAGAGGGTCTGTAACAACACATCACCGGCTGATTGTTTAGATCCAACTTTAGAAACACAGAGCAGACCTACACCAGACGACCTGAGCTATGTGGATGGTTCATATTGGATGAAAAAGTCTCCGATGTATTTTGGGCCTAAATCATGCAGAGTTTTTTTAGACTAAGTTGAGTTTACTTTGTGATTGTTATGTGTTTTTTTAAATTCTGGTCTGGGTCCATCACAACACCCAGATTCCTGACTTGCTCTAAGGTTTTTAACTGAAGATTGGAGCTGCATGCTGATTTTAAGACGTTCCTTAGCTCCAAAAACAACCTGCTTGTTCTCTATATTCTATTTAACTGTAGAAATTTTTGGGACATCTACTGTTGTTTGTTCCATGCATTTACCCGTAGCTTGTAAGGGGCTATGGTCACCTCGGGTGTTTGAAATGTAGACCTGTGTCATCAAGCATTGTGCTAATTTTTATTATTTCCTATTATCTAAGCAAATGGAAGCATGTAGATGTTAAACAGTAGAGGTCCCAAGATGGAGTCCTGGGGGATTCCATGTGTAAATTTGGTATGCTCAGATTTAAAGTTTTTTTACTGATGCAAAATAATCTCTTCTTTCCTTTAAGTAGGATGCAAACAAATCAAGTGTGGGCCAGATAGTCCCACTCAATTCCCCCCCCCCTCCCTCCCGAATTTCTGTGGAGATCTTTTCTTTCTAGAGATAACATTCCGATTCTGAATTGGGCTTGCAATAGGGCTGACACACAGGGTAGGTCTGCATTATTTCACCCATATATTGCTTGCCCTCATCAGCATCAGCCTCATCGGTGACTGTAGCTCATCCCCGTTGACTCCAATCGAAAGCGGGGCGCACCCCTCATTGGTTAGCAGTCACGGGCTATAGGGAACGTTTGCAGGGAGATGGTGTGTCCACCTTGCAGATGCACTTGAGAATACATAGCTGTTTTTTTTCTGAGTGGAGAGGAAACTGGAAGCAGCAGTCAGCAAAGAGCAAGTTTATGTCAAAAATATTACCCGTACCACTGTAGGTGGAGTGCAGTTACATCTGCCGTATCATCAGCCTAATTTAAGAAAAAGAAAATTCCTTTAATATAAATTTTCATTCTTGTACTGTAATTTACAACATACACATATACCAGAATATACACATGCATGTACAAAGGGAGTGATTAGACAGTGAAAGAGCTGTATAAACAGTCATACCCTAAAGAGTTGAGGGTTGGTTCCTTGCTCAAGGAGTCTTGGGCAGTGCCAATCACATACAGTAGTGTTTCCATTGATCCACAGCAAGTCCTCTGCTCTTCTGCATTTTTTTTAATAATTTGGTTTTGTACCTGCATCTTTGATTCACCAACCCACATTTCAAGCCCTTGGTTAAACTATGGACGATAAAGGAAAGAACTTGGCAACAGTTTGCCATGTCCAATGAGGGTATTTCGGCAATCAGTTTTCCATGGTCAACCAAGAGTCAAACTTTCAGTGCTCTTGTACGGAGAAAGACCCCAGTTTCAAATATCCACCACAAGAGAGCTGAGGTAGATAAGATCGACAGTCAAATCAATGCTCCAACTGTCACTAATTTTAACCAGGATCTTTTTTTTTTAATTAGATGCCAAATGAGTCCTATCGATGTATTTAATATCGGGCTCAAAATGGCTGAGGTAGCTAAGGTTAAAGAGAAGATTGTTAAAAATATACAATCAAAGTTCACGTAATTTTAAAATGAGCTTTAAACGTTCACAGATCATTTTCCTAAATCCAAGCTATACAAATGCTGAATACTGAGGTAGCAGGCGTGATCATCGGTCCATGTTTTGCTGTGTCCTACCACGGTTGAACTGATTTTTTTGTCCTTAACAGCAATCAGTCTTCCGTTCGTAGAGACTACACACTAACACCTCTCGGGTTCATTAAATGATACCCGGAATACTTGCCTTTTCATTGTCAGTGAAGCGATAACTACATTAGAGAATGTCCAATAGTGTTTGCCAAGCTAAATCTTAGCTTTTATTGACCCCTCCAGAGTGATTGGTGTGCAAGTGTATTTTTGTCTAATTTGGAGTAGGGAGTGTGCATTTGTTCTGCTTGGGTTCAGTTTTAATTCCAAGTGAGTAAAAAAAGAATAAATCTCGATCCTTAAACAAAATAATAAAATTAACTGCTGTTAAAACCAGCTGGTACAAAATGGTAGCATGGATAACGTCAAATACTCAACAGAGTTGAGTCAAAATAGAGCTCATGTTTGTGAGTCATCATGGTTTGACTCCAAATCAGAGACTGCCGATGGCATTAAAGGGAGCGCTTCAGATTGGGGTGTCTGCATCGTGCGTGGGGAGTTACTATCTACGGATTCTGATTTCCAAGCTGGTGAATTTGCAGAACGTGGTCGAATCAAACTGACCCCTTTCCTCTGTCTCTGTAATAGTCTGTATTCGTTTAGGGTCAGCCCCGGGTAGGCTGGTTTCCCTTTATGCAAGTTCTCAACCACTGGTGAGAAAAAGTATTTACGTCTTTGGAGTTTAGAGCGTCCAAACACTTTCGGTTCAGGTGGCGCCGGGATCCAAACAACCGTGTTCTCTTCCTGTTTCACCGGCTGCTCCAGCGACGCGTCGGATTTCTTCCCTTCAGACACGTCATCCTCAATAATCAACTTCACCTCGGGTGGCTGAGTGGGCATCTCCTTCACCTCTGAAACTAACAAACGTTCATGCATGGGCTCATTTTATTGCCATACGGAGTTGTCCAAATTCTTAGGACTGTTTCATGCTGATGTTGGGTTACACTGAGAAGCATGAATAGCTCACCTGGAGCATCCTCCAAGTCACTCCTTGGACCTTCAATGGTATATGATTCCTGAGGTCCACTCTCCTGATAAACACGCCTCTCAGCGGTGGGAGTAATGGGTTTCGGACAAGTTTGCAGCTTGTCATCAGGCTCCGAAATTTCCGACTTAGCACGACTCTCAACCTCACTGCGAGGCGTGGAGACGACGACCTCGGTCTGGACCATCTTGTTTTGTTTACCTGAAGAAATGGAGACATGAGTCTTGAGATATCACTGGGAATACCAGTTGCGTCGAGTTTTGGCCTTAATTTACCTTTCTTTTTTGGTTGGTTCTGGAGTCTGAAGGCATAAATATTGTGAATCTCCAGCTCTCTTTTTATGTCCTGTTGAAATAAACAAGGTGTACTTCATTCTCAAACATTTCAACACACATATTTACTATTTTCGCTCTTCAATTTCTGTTGAGGGATTCAAAGAATTCTGGCAAAACAAAAGTTCAATTTACCCTTGTTTCTTTTGATAACTCATAAACTTGTGTCTGTAGACAGAAAGATGTCTTCCTGGCCGTGTTGATTTTCTTGTGCTCTGTTGCTGCTTGGCGATTGAGGGAGCCCCGTAGCAACTTGTTACACCTTTCCAAATCCTGGAACATATAAATAGAGAATAATTACAAAAATAAATAAATAAATAAAACTAAGTACTGTTCATATCACACTCCCAACTCAAAAAACAGTCTTAATATCAAATCATCTTTGCCCATTGAAATGAATGGAAATGCAATTTGACAAGTTTGTGGGCCTGTTGTAATAATTATTATTACTAATTATTTTCTGGGAATACTGTATTGTATTTTTATCAGTTGAAAATGTAAACATTTGCTGAGATGTATTGAAATAAAGGGTTGCGCATGATGTTTATCTGTTTAATGATTGTGAGAATTTATTCATATTATCACCCTTTTCACTTGAATGTTTCTCTGCAAAGGTAATTTCAGCAAATTTGTTATTTCAAAAGTCAGAATGAAACTTAATCACTACACAAGAAGTAAATCTTCTCTACTAGATGAAATAGACAATTTCCCCAAGTTGTCAAGGAAACAGGATAGTGACCTTGAATGACATGTGAAAGTTTGTTTGGAAACCTTAAGGGCCCATGATTGCCTTTATGAATTTTGCCTGGCAACAAGTAGGCGCTCAAAATATAACCTGACTACACTTGAACAACTGAAAATGATATTATCCGAGTTAGGTGACTCTACCTGCAAGCTAAAAATTAATAAAAGGTACATAGTACAAAAAGAGGGCCGTTAAATGGGCTGGTACTACCTCCTCTTGTTTTTGTAACATACATTTATTCGCTTGTCCTTCTCCTGCAGCTCTACGGAGACCTCATTTAGCTTGCGAGATAGTTCGTCCTTCGCCGGCAAGGCCTGCTCCTTGATGACCCTCTGCTGGAGCTGATGAATCCTGTCTTTAACATTGGTCAGCTCCTTCTCTGTGACTTGCAGCTTCCAGGCCAGGTTGTTACGGCAGGTGCGCGTCCCACAGAGCAACTTTTGCAAGTCTCTGACTTCGCCGTCGTTCTGATTTAGTACCTAGGAGGAACATCAATTGTGGTTTTGTGAATAACAGTTACCGTAATTTCCGGACAATAGAGCACACCTGATAAGCCGCACCACTACATTTTTAAAGGAAAAAAACATTTTGTACACACATAAGCCGCACCTGTCTATAAGCCGCAGGTGCCCATATTGTAACATGAGATATTTAGAAAGAAAGACGGTACACAGGCGGCAGTTAGAAAAGTCTTTATATAGGCCGCTTCATTAAATAAGCCGCAGAGTTGAAAGCGTGTGACAAAAGTCGTGGCTTATAGTCCGGAAATTACAGTAAGTTTCAAAGAGAATACTGTACCTGCAGCCAAACATTTGCTTTTTTTTTTTCTTTTAAAATGTGACACATTCACCTCTTGACTGAGACAATTCAGATGGGCGATGTCACCTACCTCAGAAACACCCTCTTCGGAGTCTTGGAATTGCTGCAGTGCCACTGTGTGGCGATGTTGAACTTTCTTCAACAGCTTGGTTTCTGTCTTGACTTCCACTAGTTGCAGCTTCAAGTCATAGTTCTGGTTTTTCAATTCATTTATGCTGTTTGAGTACGATGAATGGATCCTGGTCTTTGTTGCAGAATTGATTGGAGGCAACTTCAGCTTAATTTCTGAAAAACATTCAAGTTGGTGATTTGGTGAGTGCCTCTTGCAATACATAAAACTCTCTTTATTTTTATTACATTTTCAAAACATGCTCATCATACATGCGTACTATGTATGTAATCATTTGGTAAATGTAGTTTCGCTAATTAGCATAATTGGAACTGTGTGCAGAATGCCTTCTCGATAGCTACTGTAGCTCCTTCTACAAATGCTCACGGATACTTAGATCACAGCTCGTCACAATAGCCCAATGTTTTGTTTTTTTTCCTACGGAACTTTTACAATCTTGTCTGCTGAAGGAACCATAACCTGCAGCTCAGTCCAGGGCATCAAATGTCACTCCAGAATGCCTTCTTAGTCTTGAGATTTCATTCTAATCTGCACAATTCAAAGCACCCCCGTGCCAGACGCAGCATGGCAGCTCCAGAATAGCATTCCTTGATTTGTACGCTTTTGTTTTGCAATGACAACGACAAACTTCTTTTCGTTAACTGTTGTGGGGTTTTTCTTTCCTGAGCAAAACAAAACCAGATCAGACCACTGTACCTACTGTGGAACATGGAGTAGATTTCGTTTTGTTCTGGGGGGTGCTTTGCTACGTCCTGCACAAGGTGCCTTGAATTTATGCAGGGTAGGATGAAATGTCAAACTATCAAGCCATCCTGGAGCAAAATGTGCTGGCCGGTTAAGAGAGCTTGATCTCAGTCACTGGTCATCCCACAGGATAATGAACCAAGACACACAACTAAAACACATATGAATGGCAAAAAAATGGATGTTTGAATTGCCCTTCTATGAGCACTGATGTAAATCCTATTGTACATCTGCCATTCAACCATTCGCATTGTCTTGTCAAAGAGAACAAACCATTTTCAACACTTTAGATCACCCAACAATTGTAAAAACACATCCATAAATGAATGTTACCACATGTATGGAGTGAACAATAGTATATATTGATTGGAGAAAAAATATGAAATTTAGGAAATTCTGGCATGTGACAAAGGAGATTACCGTCTGACTCCAGTGATATATTGTGTATTTTGTTGACATTCAACCCTGATACTGTGATTACAGTAATACTGAAGTTTACAGTGCAATAACAGCTAAAATGAACATACCTTCAGTTTTTTTGTATGGATTATATTTCTTGTCCGGAGTGGTTTTGTGCGTCTGTGTTTTGGTTTGGAAGACCACGGTGCGTGGCTGTGGATTGAGTTTGGGCAGAGAGCCCGATTGTGCGTTGCTTTTGCCTCCTGCAGCGTCAACCCGTGTCTTGATTGAAAAGGCCCTCTGACTCATCCTCATCGCCTTGTCGCAGACCTCTTCTCACCGGGAAAGGGCACATCGAAACCGAAAGAGGCGGCCCGAAAACGGCATCGCATCTGGCGGAGTACACGTCAAGGCTGTGACAGGCCGAATGCGACTTGAGTGCCGCTTTCGTTGTCGCCAATGATGACGCCACGATCCTCATATCAGAGCACAGAGGCCGATGACACCGACAGACATACAGCTGGACGACAGGCGTGACGTCACCGTAGGTGAACAGTCCAAAGTTTGTGAGCGGCTGGGTGGTTCAGATGCCGGCCGACGGGTGAAAGTAACAACAACAGCTACCTCAACGAAGAAACACTTCATACGGTTAACGAAGCACAAATACATTGTTATTGTACTAAAGTAGATTTTTTTTAGGTATCTGTACTTCACTCGAATGAGCCTATTTATTTTCGGACGACTTTTTACTTTTACTTCCTATACTTGAGCACATATCTGTACAGAGGTATCTGTACTTACGAACGTCTCTTAATACAAAATTTTCAAGTTACGAAACGTCTCAACAGGAAAATATTTCCCCTTGTTACGAAAGAAATGTCCAGGTACGAAAGGTAAAACAAATGTGGGCTGCTACTCGCACCTCCGAGTTTCCTGAATGCAACATAGTTGTAGCTGCTCTGCCATTGGCTACCGAGCATCATCCTGGCATCCCATTGGCTACGAGGGACGCATACCGAGTGTGTCTATTCGTGTCCTGTAGAATCTACACAAATAGACACATTCCAAATCAAGCTTTAGTTCATTAAGGGTCAGTCTATAATTGCGCTCGGACCTTTTTGCGAATCCTGTGCAACAAATAGACAACTTCCATTTCCAAGATGGCCACACCCATAAAACCAGGCTTCACCTACTGCAAAAACATCTCAGAGTGTGTTTTTCAGAGATTGAAATTAGACTCAAAATAGTGTTTAGTTTGGGTGACAGTCCATCTGCAATTTAGTAATGAATATAAATTTAGTTCTGCTAAAAGGAACAAAAATGAACCAGCATACTATGAAATTATTGTAAAAATGTCCTTCGCTTTATTATTTTGGTTAAAAAAACTGCAACATCAATGTGCAAAAATATTTTGTGGTACATACACACACATAAAATGAGCATTTTTTATATATATATATATATATATATATATTCAAACCTCGGTTTTCATACATAATCCGTTCCAGAAGGCTGTTTATAAACAGTACGAAATAAAATAAAATTTCAAGTAAATACTTAATTGACATTCCCTGACAAAAAGTGATTTTTTTCTAACTGTAAAAAATGTGCAAAAGCTTTCGCAATTTCTTATAAAATAATATAAGAAATGTATTTGTTTCCCTGTTTTTCAGTACTTCTGCTTTTGTCTTTCAATTGGTCTTGACAGGTGCTTAGTTCACTTATGCCCTCTAACTTTGTTTTAACCTTAGAAATGGCTCAGAGAGCTAGTTTGAGCGCATGGTTAGTTACCGGCCACCCTATCGAGAACCCCCGAGAAATCGCAGTTTGCCTTTCACACCACCAATATATTTTTAGCAACAGTTTTGTTTGTTTGTCCTTATACGGTGTAGCACATATCTTCTCTTGGCCCAAGGTTAATGTGCAAACCTTTTCTATGTGTTGTTTCTCCTAGTGTGTTTTTTTAGAGGCTGTTTCATGTTTTATGATGACTTACTTCAATGCTTAATTGCACTAGCATTTTGGATTATGTAAACAATAAAATGAGAAACAAGTACAGAGAGTTTGTAAATTTAATCTAGTAGATTTTGGGTTAAAATTAGAATAAATGGTATGGTTGAAGATTTTAAATATACAATATTTCATTCTCTCTTACAGTGAACTCCAACCTGGAGTGACCAAGAGCTTGAAGGAAGCACGCTTGGCTTCTTTAGTGGAGGACTGCAAAATGAGCCTTTTCATTTCGTCAGACAGACATATGAGGTTCCCATTTCTTGACAGTAAGCGAACAGGTACCAAGGAATACCTTTAAAAGTGTTTAATTGGTTTAAATGTTTAAAAAAAAATTATGTTCTTTACATCACTGGCGGGTTGGAAAATATCCGCCACAATAAACATGTCACTGTATTTATTGTTTTTCATTTGATTAGTTATATATCTATGTCCTTTAAAGGGATTTTTACATGTTTACTGTTATTTATTATGACTTTTCAAGATAACGAACGCCATTAATCCGTTTTCTCAGCAACATTAAAATATAATGTCACCTGTCACAAGAAGGCTCGCTGAGTTAATGCAAAAGGTCACATTTGTCACGATCAAAATCAACAAGTGAATAACGATGACTGGTAGTGGTGCTCATCTGGAGCCTTGCACTCTAGTGCTGAAGGTGATAGAAATGCGAATTACAAAATGATTTAATGAGTGCCTCCTTGGTCCATGTCATACCTCTCCAAAGTTTCATTGAAATTAATTAGGTAGTTTTTGCATTATCCTGCTCTCAAACAAACCAGGAAGTTGCATGTAAACAAACCAGGAAGTTAGTGAATTAAGACAAAATGTACATATATACAATAAAATGTCTTGTGCCCTCAAGTGTCTTTCCACATGCCAGAAAGGCAGTGGAGCCAACTGGACACAAGGTAGTCGTTTACCGCTGACACAACTCAATGGAGAGCCAGGGCGAAAAAAAAAAAAAAGAAAAAATTGGGTTCAATTGGCCATTACTGTTGCTTTAAGTCCATGAGGGGGAGTCATTATGTTTTGAATCCAAATCCGAGCTGTCACTGGCGGCATCCGGTTGGCTCGTCTGTTCGTCGCTCAGATAGACGTCTTCTATCATTTCTGCAGAACGTCTCCGATTGCGACAGTAAAGGGTTTCCTCTTTTACTGGCACGTTCGCCCCTTTGTGATACCTCAACTGCACGCCGCTGTAGGCTGGCTTGCCCAGATGCAGGTTCTTCGTAACTGGGGTGAAGTTATATTTACGCCGATTTTTGGGCCTTGAGCATCGTTTTGGTTCACGTGGAGTTACCCCCTTAGTCTCGTTGAGAAGGCAAGACAAAGAGCATTGTGTGTATGTCCGAATGTCTTTCTGATCTCCTTTCTCCTTCCTCTTTTCCTGTTGTTTCACCTCCTCGACAATCACCACCTCCTTGACAATCACCACCGCCTCATCGTCTTCCTCGACCTCTTCCTCCTCCCTCTCATCTAGCGCCTCCCTCATCTCTTGCGCTTTCCTTTCCTTGACCGCTTCCCTCTCCTCGAACTCTTCCTCCAGGTTTGCCTCGACCTCGATGTTCTCCTCTGCCTCTTCTGCCGCGTTCTCCTTCTCGTCTTCCTCTTCCGCCAGCTTCTCTTCTTCCTCCCCCCTCTCTTCCTCCTCCTTCTTTTTCTTCTTCTTCCCCTCATCATCGTCCTCCTCGTCTTCCTCCTTCTTTTTCTTCTTCTTCTTCCCCTCATCATCGTCCTCCTCATCCTTCTTCTTCTTTTTCTTCTCGTTCTCCTTATTCTTCCTCTCCTCCAGCTGGACCTCCACGTACACTTTTTCGTCATTTTCCTTATTCTCCACCTCCTCCTCCTCCTCCTCCTCCTGCTCCTCATCTTCATCCTCATAGTCCCATTCCTCCCCCTCCTCATGTTCCCCTCTGGTCTCCTCAAATGTCTCCTCTAACCTCGTTTCCTCTGACTTCTGTTCTTTTCCCTCAGTTTCCTCAGTTTCCTCCTCCACATTTTGGTCCATTCCCTCATCCTCGTAATCTTCATCATCGTGCTCCTCCTTTTCCTCCTTTCCTTCACCGTTGTGCCCCTCTGACCTCCCCTGGCCTTCTCTGTCCTCATTCTCCTCTTCCTCCTGCTCCTCTTCCTCCCCCTTGTCATCTTCATCCCTGCTCTTCTCCTTTTCCTCATCCTCTTCCTCGTCACTCTCCTCTGACTCCTGCGTATCTTCTGATGAGTCCGGCCTTTCCTCTTGGCGATACTGGGCATCCCCGCAGGCTGAAACTAACAAATGGATTTTTTGTAAATTCACACATTTTTGTGACCTTTTTTCAAAATTCCCCAATATCAAAATGACATCTGTTATAAAACTGCCTCTGATAATAATGCTGAATGAACTCATCACAGTTTCAAACAATTTTCACCCATTTACCGTTTTTAAGGTAGTTGGATTATTTGTCCGATGCCCACTTTACTTAGTGCCATCAGGTTTTACCTGTACTGTTTTAGTACTGTATTATCATTTTTCATTGTTAGAAATCACTCTTGTAAGTGACAAAAGCCATGATAAACACCCGGCAAAATATTTGTCTCGAATCAGTACAGGTTTGAACCAATATGTTACGTGGCAAAATAAACAAATCAAAATGATTTGGACCAGCATGGTACTAAGTGGCATGAGTGGCTCACCTGATTTTTTATCAGAATGCCTCTGGCTGTTCTTTCTCCTTTGTTCAGTTGTACGAGATTTGTGTGGTACATAATCCTGAAAAACATCATCACTATTATTAATTTCTTGATATGACTAGACCAAATTATTGTGCCTCATACATGCATATAATAATGAGCTAAAAGTCGAACACTGCAATTATTTAAATGGCGTACCGAGCTGTCAGGGCTCTGCCACCTTTGGACCCTTTCGTCAGTCCCGGAAAGGTCTGACTTGATCCGACTGTCGGCCTCACTGGTTGTCGAGCCAAGTTTCTCCGTCTGGACCATCTTGCTTTGTTTGGCTACAAAATCACAAATTTGTGTCAAACGCCACCGACAACTAACAAGGAAACAAAAACTGCAAAGCAAGTCTTTATGGAACTGTACCTTTTCTTCCATGTTTTCGTGATCGGATAGTATTTATATTATTTGTCTCTGCTTCTCTTGTTCTGTCAAGCTTGAAAAACAGAATTAAAAATGGAAAATTAAAAATTACCGTAAATACTATATTGACAATGTTTTTTTTTTTGTTTTGTTTTTTATCAGTAATGAAACTAGCACACTACTTTCAACTTACTTGAGTTTTCTTGGATAATTCAGAAACTGTGCTTTGTAGACCCAGAGACATCTCATTGGTCTTGGACATATTTTTGTATTCTGTTGCTACTTGGCGATTGAGTGAGCCTTGAAGCAACATGTTACTCTTCTCCAAGAACTACAATACATAATGGGGAAAAAAAAGGAATAAAAATTAAATCATAAAAGCATCTCTTTGAAATGATTGTAATTTCCACTGATCAGGAATTTGACTAACGCTTGCATCTATTACCACTTAGCACAAACGGAATGGTGAATGGAACACATGTACTATTGTCATCCCATGATTGCAGTTACAGATTCAGACAATGTTGTTTGTTGACATGAATGGTGCCAACCCACTGATGAGAACATACAAAAACATGTTCAGGATCAAGTTGAATGACATTTTGATACTCTCTGCGGCGGAGTTGTTTGAACAATGCTCCACTCACTGGCCACATTAGGTACTTCTGCATATTCTAATGCAGTGGATCTTAACCTTGAAAGAGGTACCGAACCCAACCAGTTCACATGCACATTCACCGAACCCTTCATTCGTGAAAAATAAAAATAGGGTGTTTTTTTAACAAATTCAAGACATTTAAAAAACTCATTTGTTAAAAAAAGTTCACATCAAAAAAGTAAATAAAATTTCAAGACAAAAGTCTAGATTTTTTTTTTAATTTACTTGAATGGCAGAGTCTTCGTCGAACCCCTGAGACGATTCACCAAACTCCTCGGGTTCGATTGAACCCAGGTTAAGAACCACTGTTCTAATGAAATACAGAAGGCCAATCAAGGTGTATGTAAATGCAACGATAATAATGTCCAGTTGTTAAAAATGCAACTGACTACAGTACATTTTTCGGGACTGCACCATGCATTTAAAGAGACACACAAAGAAAAATGTTGCCCCAAACAGAAAACGGGCATTTTCATAGTAGTACTGGATGGTCATACACAAACACTGCGACCCATCTGGAAATCCACAACTTTGTCCCTCTATAACAGTATCAAGATATTCAACACCAACATGAAGGCAGTCCTATATAGTCCCGAGACATAAAGAGTGACCAAAACCACAAACAACAAATTACAGATTTTCATCTGCAGGTACGTTGGTGCGTTCTACACCAAGCAAGGGGCGCAGAGCATGCAGTGTGAACACTCTGCGCGTGCGGGGGAGTGTTGGCTAAACCACTGACGATCCAGCATGAATCTGCGAAGTTATTAAGAATATTGATTTGTTTCATATTTTTTCATATTTTTTGTCATATCGTAGATGCGTTGCGGTTACATTAAAAGTTGCATTTGTTTTTGTAACGTGAACTAGTACATAAAAACATTACATTTATCAAAAAATCCGATGTTGCTCGACAGTGTAAAGGTGGCATTAGTTACCACCCACCCTTCACAGCCTCCTCCCTTGGGAATTTCTAAAACGACACTGACATGTTATTTAAATTGTCCAGTGAAGATGCATTTTTGGGGTGCAAGCATAATTAGCTAGCAAATTGCACAATTTAGTGGTGGACATGAACGAAGCCATATTAACTAATTCGTAACTGTCCGGATATGTCAACACGCTCAGATTCTGAGGTGGGGGGTGTGACTCACACCCAACTACATAATTGGGCGGCATTTTAACCATACAGAAAATTTCCATCCATTTTCTAATCCATTAATCCTCACGAGGGTCGCGGGTGTGCTGGAATCTATCCCAGCTGTCTTCGGGCAGTAGGCGGGGTGCACCCTGAACTGGTTGTCAGCCTATTGCAGGGCACACAAAATGAACAACCATCACACCTAGTGACAAGTTAGAGTGTTCCATTAGCCTGCAATGCATGTTGTTGGAATGTGTGAGGAAACCGCAGTACCCGGACAAAACCCACGCAAACATGGGGAGAACATGCAAACTCCACACAGGAATGCCGGGCCCGAAATCAAAGCCTGCACCTCTGAACTGTGAGGGAGACGTGCAAACCAGTTAACCACCGCGCCACCTCCACAATGTCCAAAAAACTGAAATGGTGAAAACAGTCACCATCTCCACAATTCTGCCTTATACATTATTCTTAGTCTATGCAGTCTGTTATATTTTCAGCAATTCTTGTCAGACATGTGTATAATATTTAGGAATAACTTTGTGGAGGTTCATGCCGCTACAGAATGACATTCTATCCATCCATCCATCCATCCATTTTCCAATCCGCTTACCCTCACAAGGGTCGCGGGGGATGTTGGAGCCTATCCCAGCCGTCTTCGGGCAGTAGGGGGGGACACCCTGAACCGGTCGCCAGCCAATCGCAGGGCACACAGAGACAAACAACCATCCACGCTCACACTCACACCTAGTGACAATTTTGAGTGTTCAATCAGCCTGCCATGCATGCTTTTGGAATGTGGGAGGAAACCGGAGTATACGGAGAAAACCCATGCAGGCCCGGGGAGAACACGCAAACTCCACACAGGGAGGCCGGAGCTGGAATTGAACACAGTACCTCTGCACTGTGAGGTCGACACGCTAACCACTGGTCCACCGAGCCGCCAGAATGACATTCTAGTGATATACAAATTGAATGGTATTGTGAAAGTTTTGCACAGTATTGCACAAAAAATACTAAAAACGAGTCTCAGTATTGTCAATGTAAAGGCACGCATCTCTTGAACTACATCTTATGAGATAGTACAAGTGTACCTAAGGTAGTGGCAGGTTGTGCATGTTGGTGTTCCCGTGAGCAATGTTGCCCCGAAAACATACCTGTATCCTCCTGTCTTTCTCCTCCAGCTGTATGGTGAACTCACTGAGCCTGCGGGTGAGTTCCTCCTTCTCCAGCAGGTTAGGGTTCCGGTTGACCCTCCACTGGAGGTGACTGATCCTGTCTTTGCAGTCCAACAACTCCCTCTCTGTGCTTTGCAGCTTCCTTGCCAGATTATCACGGCTTGAGCGTGTCTCAGCGAGCAACTTCCGCAAAGCTTTGACTTCGTTTCTGTGCTGGTCTTGTATCTAGAAAATCCAAAGAGATGCCTTGGAATATCGACAAGGAAGACACGCACGTCTTGCAGATTTGAAACTCTGCTGACTTTGGGCTAAGGAAGCCCACACACACATGAGTGGTCGCTGGTCAATCACAGAGCACATGACAAACTACTTGTAGTTTTTCCACGGTAATTTTCATACATGTCTAATTTAAATACAGAGTGTGAGTACTTTTGCCACCTCTGGTGCGTGGTGTTCTGTGCTGGTGAAAGTTCCGAGCATCATGTTATGTCTAAACAGCACCAGCGCAATATAAAAAGGCCACCCACCTGAGAAATGCTCCCATCCAAATCTTGATATTGCTGCAGCGCCACCGTGTGGCGATGCAGAACGTTCTTCAGTATTTTGTTCTCGGTCTTGGAATCTTTCAATTGCTGTTGCAGCACATAATTCTGGTTCTTAAGCTCCTTAATGTTGTTTGCAGACAGCTCCCTCAACTTTGCGGTGTCCCTAATTGGTGGCAATTTCAGCTTCGAGGCTAAATGAATAACATTTTTTTTTAGTTAATGACGTGTACAGATTTATAGCGAAGTGCGCCGTGTTTGAATACCTTCACTTCGCCTGTAAGGATTCAGTTTGTCCTCTTGGGCTTTGTATGCATATGACTTAGTTTGCAAAGAGCAGCGCTGGCCGGTGAGGAGTCTGGGCAGAGAGTCTCTGATGCACCGTGCAGCATCCCCCTCGGCCCCTGACCTCGGTGCAAAGTCCCGCTGGTTCACGCTCATCGCTCCCTTGCAGCAGCTTTTCCTCCCTCTACAGACGCATTGCAAAAAAATTCTACGCAGATGCAAGAGAGGCGGCCAGACGCCAATGAAAATCTGCGGCTCACGTTACATGGCTGTGAAGCTCCAAATCCGACTTCAGTGTCGCTTTTAATGACGCAATCGGTTGTAACCTCATATCAGAGCACAGATACAGACGACGCCTATTCTTATTACAGGTGGACGACGCGGGCGACATCATACAAGTGGTATGATGTCAACATTTGGCGGGTGGGCGCGGCCGCGACGCCCCCTCTCAACAATTAAGTCATGCTGCAGGGGTTACTTGATGTGAAATTAGGCGTTTGCTTTTTTGGCGTTTTGTTTGTTTTTTTCCAGACACCACGAGCAAAAATTTACGAACATTGGGCTTTTTGGGTCAAATTTCAGGAATAACCAAAATTTACGCCATATCATTTACTTGTGAACTTCATTTCAAGTTTCCTACACTTTTGAATGCACATGGCCACCTGTTCAACGTTCCTGCATTTATTTTTTTATTTTATTTATTTTTTTTAAACCTGATGTTCTCTAACTTAGGAGGTGAATAGGATCAAGTGTTTGATCCATGATTCAACCAATACATTTGCTGGATCAGTTAAAATGTTATTTAAACAGTCATCATCCTGCTTTTTTATTTTATTTTATTTTTTAACATCATGAGCCCAAGACAAAAACTAACAACTGATGGGTACCTTGCCATCAACAAGGGAAGTTCTCAGTGGAAAAGTGCCCACTGACCTTTTGAGTGTTGTGGTGTGAAATTTGCTGTTCAAATCAATATAAAGATAACTGCAAATTGTGCAAAAAAAGTACTGTAACAATGAACTGTTGGATACACCCCGTGGGGACCCGGGGTAGAATAGGTCCCTAGCACCCCCTCAAAACAAATGATGAGGTTTTTAAGTTTTATTTTACTTTTGAATCACATTGATACAAAAACATTTTGGGCAAAGTGAGACTTGTGTGCTGTCCCACTAAACCAACAACAACGTGTTTAGTTGGCATGCCAACATAATAAGAAAAACATGACATCAGTGTCAAAATTATATGGATTTTAACAAATCCAAACACAAACACACACAAAAAGTATAGTACATTATGGTAACAACCACTGCTAATACCAGGAGAGCCAATAGTTACTTTCCTTGCTGATGAGTTGGCAGCACTGGTCAAAAATAGAAATATCATCTCCATGAATATGTCCCACGGGGAGATTCAAAACTGTCAACAACACTTGAGTCAGAAGGATCCAGATCAGGTTGGGAATTCTGGTAGTCATGTGGGGGAGTATCTTCTTCCTCTGATTTCCATGTTGGTGCTTGTCTACGAGTCAGACTCTCACGTGACTTCCGGTCCAATCCACTGTAAGCTGGTTTTCCCAAGTGCAGATTTGTAGTCACTGGACTGAACACGTATTTACTGCGAAATTGGGTGCGTTTGTGTCCTTTTTGTTGAGAAGATTCAAAACTGTCAACAAGACTTGAGTCAGAAGGATCCAGATCAGGTTGGGAATTTTGGAAATCATGTTGGGGAGTATCTTCTTCCTCTGATTTCCATGTTGGTGCTTGTCTACGAGTCAGACTCTCACGTGACTTCCGGTCCAATCCACTGTAAGCTGGTTTTCCCAAGTGCAGATTTGTAGTTACTGGACTGAACACGTACTTACGGCGAAATTGGGTGCGTTTGTGTCCTTTTTGTTGAGGGGGCGTTTTGACGATTGTCTGAGCAAATCTGCAAGAGCCTGGGCATTTTTGTTTGCGTATCCAATCCTCATCAAGCTCCTCTTCCATTGACTCCTGTGAAGCATTCGTTACCTCCTTGCTCTCAATATGGTCTCCTGCCATTTGGTGAGTGGGGATTTCCTGAAAGTCTGAAATGGCTTTTTTTGGAGGGGGAGGTGAGGGAGAGGGGTTATTTTGTAAATATTTGAAGGACAAAAGGCACAAAAGTAAAATATTTGGTGCATTTAAGGGTGGTCTCTGGCTATTGTCACCTTGGGCAAAAAAGGTTGCGTGTTGTTTCAAAAACTACCGGTACCACCATCCATCCATTATCCTCACAAGGGTTGTGTGTGTGTGGGGGGGGGGGGGGCTGGAGCCTATCCCAGCTGTCTATGGGCAGTAGACGGGGGACACCCTGAACCGGTTGCCAGCCAATCGCAGGGCACACAGAGACGAACAACCATCCACACTCACACTCACACTCACACCTATGGACGATTTCGAGTGCTCAATCAGGCTGCCATGCATGTTTTTGGAATGTGAGGGGAAACCAGAGTACCCGGAGAAAACCCACGCAGGCCCGGGGAGAACATGCAAACTCCACACAGGAAGGCCGGAGTTGAACCCGGTACCTCTGCACTGTGGGGTCGTCGCGCTAACCACTGGACCGCCGGGCTGCCCCTACCTGTACCTATTTCTTGAAACTACTTACCTACCATATATCCTCACATACTGTAAATGCATCGCATGTGCATTCATAAGTTGATGCTGTTCCAAATATTACAACTCAGTGATGTGTTGATGCTACTTTTAACAAATCTGTTTGGGTGTATTTATGTTGAGCACAGTGAACGACTGGTAACATTAGTGGCTTACCTGTACACTTCTTTGGAACCTCCACATTCCGCTTCGTCTTCAGGTATCTAACTGCTAAAGACCCCCCTGGTACATGATCCTGGAAAACATTCAACAACAATCAGTAATCTCACCCTGAGACTATTCTCCCCACAAATGAATGGAAAATAATAAATTCTATAATTGTGGGTGAAAGAGTGCGTCACAGAAATGAAACAGTGCTTAAGACATCTCAAATGTTGTTTGAATCACATACTGTGCTGGTTGATCTCAGCCATTGCTGGATCCCATCGTCAGGCTCGGCAGAGCCTGACCTGAATGAATACGCGTTCCCATTCGTTATAGGGATTGTTTCCTCAGTCTGGACCATCTTGTTAAACATTTCTGAAAATCAAAAATGAGCCTCACATATCAGCCATTATTGTAACAACAAGCAAAGTGGGGATGTGCTAAGCTACTAGACCTTTTTTGTTTGCCGAATGTTCGAATCGCAGAGTGGGTATGTTGTGGTCTTCCAATTCTTTCTTTCGTTCCTGTTTGAACAAAACAACACCAATATGTGAGTTGCCATACCTTCACAAAGCTTAGAATCAGTTAGCTGAGGGTGATTAAGATGAAATTACACATATCCCAATAAATGTGGTGATTGTGGTAATATGAGACACACAGCTGGTTTAAACCTACTCTAATTTCTCTGGTTAACTCATAAACCCGTGCTTGCAGAGAGAAGAACACGTCGTTGGTCTTGGACAGCTTTCTTTGCTCTCCTGCTATGTGGCGATGGAGTGTGCTTTGAAGCAATTTGTTATTCTTCTCTAACTCCTAAAACAAAGGATGAAACAAAAAAATGAATCAATAACCACAATCACACACTGTTGAACATCATGAGCACACCTGTTCCCGACATACAGATTAATCTGTCTTCCAATTATGTTTTTCTTGTCTTGATAAAAGATGGGGGAGGCCAAAGAAACGACCCTTTGCAGGGCTGCTCATGAACTGTGTCTCAATTCAGTTGCTGCACCAGGCCTTTGCAATGTATCCAGTACGGAAACACCCTCACACCTTTGCTGTAACATGGGAAAGCTACCAATTAGCATGACGAAAATCATACCAGTCCAATAAAAGGATGACTGAAAACATTCACATCCTACTGATATCTGGTCAAGTAATTGACAGTTCTTCGAACCCCCACACGCATTCTATAGTGCTGATATACAGTCTGGTACTCTACCTCCTGAGCCATGCTGCTCCTAAACATACCCATATCCGCTTGTTTTTCTCCTTCAGATTTACGGTAGCCTCATCCAACCTGCGGCTGAGCTCTTCCTTTTCCAGCATGGTGGGATTATTGAAGATGTGCGATTCAAGCTGCAGGATCTTGTCTTTTGAGTCCAACAACTCCTTCTCTGACTCCTGCAGCTTTTTCGCCAGCGTGTCACAGCTGCTGCGCGTCTTGCCAAGCAACTTCCTCATGGCCTTGACCTCATTGATGTGCTGATCTTGTATCTAGAACGCAGATGGATTGAGATATTCTGATGAAACGTGCATTTCTGTGTGGAATTATGGAATGTGTCAGGCCTCGGGTCCAGTGGCTTGCGAAAGTATATTCGGCCGCATTCAACTTTTTTACCTGTTGCCGCATTTCAGGCTTCAAAGATTAAAAAATGGTAAGAATCAATACAAAGTGGGACACACCCGTGAAGAGCAACCAAATTCATACTATATTTTACTACAACTTTTTTTTAATTAAAAAAAAGAAAACTGCACTGCAGGCAACTCACTCCAAAAGTGCTCGGAGCATTTCTGAATGATCCAATGTTGACCTACATGACAGATGATGAATAGAGCCCACCTGTAGTATAATGTATTGTAAATAGTGTGGTTTATCATTCATTTTTTTCATCCATTTTTTTCTTGAAAGAAATAAATGGTCTGGTTTCCCAAAGTGTTGGGTCCCAAAATTGTCCCCCAATTCTCGACTGGGCCATACACATAATCACTTGTTTCCAAACTTACGTTGTAGTGGTCATTTTTTGAATTTGCAGCGAGTCCGCTCTTTTTACATTTATAAAAATAATAATTCTATGAAGTGGAGAGAGTGCGGGGAAATAACAGTGCGAAATGAATTACAGTCCACCGACCTGAGATAGACTGCCTTCTAATCGTTGGTATTCCTGGACTGCCACCGTGTGGCGATGTAGGACATTCTTCATCACTTTGGACTGCGTCTTGAATACTACCAACTGCAGCTGGAGGTTACCATTTTGTCGCTTGAGATCTTTAATGGTGAGGTTTGTTGACAGTTCGTAAGTCTTTGGGTTCTCGTTGATCGGAGGCAACTTCAGTCTGTAATCTAAAATTGATGGTTTATTGCGGATAGCAGTGACAATGGATGCAGACATTCCAAAACGGCCATAATAACCATAATAAATTACCTCCACTCTTTCGATATGGAACCAGTTTGTCATCTAAGGTTTTGTGTGCATGGGACTTGGTCGGCCCTGTAAAGACTGCAGGCAGAGGGCACGTTGTAGATGCCTTTCCATTGCACATTACAGCATTACCTTTCTCCCCAGTCTTCGGTGCCAAGTCTGGCAGGTTCACACTCATCACCCTCCTTGCTGTCGGAAGAAGAACATACAACGGCCACCAGCTTTACACGCCACCAAAGCTGCCGCACTTCAAACCTGACTGCCTCCAACCCCCGACCTCGAGCCTTTATGGTGTCATTAAGTCAAAACAAAGAGTGAGGAGAAATGTCACTAACGGCCGTAAATGGGTGTGATATCACGTGACCACGTTGTTGACGAAGAAACACGCTGATTTTTTTTTGTTGGGATTTTGAACTGACAGACGAGCCCGGTCGTTCATAGACCCGGTCGGGAAAAAAAGTTTCATGGAGGTCGTTCATAGACCCGGTCGGGAAAAAAAGTTTCATGGAGATAAAACTGCTTATTTTAAATACATATTTTTCATTGTATGTATATCTAATGTTATGTTTAATGCTAAACGTCCAAATGAAAAAAATGCATATTTGTTGTACACATTTTTTGTTTACATTAAATCAATGTGTGGAGTTTGCATGTTCTCCATGGCCGGGCCTGCGTGGGTTTTCTCTGGGTACTCCGGTTTCCTCCCACCTTCCAAAGACATGCATGGCAGGCTGATTGAGCACTCTAAATTGTCCCTAGGTGGCAGTGTGAGCGCGGATGGTTGTTCATCTCTGTGTGCCCTGAGAATGGCTGGCAACCAGTTCAGGGTGTCCCCCGCCTACTGCCCGAAGACTTCCCGTGACCCTTGTGAGGATAAGCGGAGAGCTTTGAGGGAATTCTGGTCCACCATCCAACATCTCAAGTGGTGGAAGCAGTGCACCATTCACACTGTGTATCGTGGGAATAGAGCACTGCTGACCTCGACTTGGGACATTGTGAGTTGTCGACAGAATACTTCGAAGACCTCCTCAACTCCACCAACATGCCTTCCTGAAGCAGAGTCTGGGGACTCTGAGGTGAGCTCTCCTATCTCTGGGGTTGAAGCCACTGAGGTGGTTAAAAATCTACTCGGTGGCAAAGCCCCAGTTGTGGATGAGATTCGCCCAGAGGTCCTCAAGCTTCTGGATGTTGTGGGGCTGTCCAGGTTGACACGCGTCTGCAACATCGCGTGGTCATCGGGGAAAGTGCCTCTGGATTGGCAGACCGGGGTGGTGGTTCCTCTTTTTAAGAAGGGGGACTGGAGGGTGTGTTCCAACTACAGATGGATCACACTCCTCAGCCCGCATGGAAACTTCCAAATCACAAATACCCTACTCCATCGACATATTAACATGGTTTTGCTAGTATTGCCAACGATATATGTCAGTCATGCAAAGTATGGATGGTCTGGATTCCTCAAATAAATAAGGTAAAATCTCAAAGTGGCTCAGTTAAAACGACGAATGTGTTCTTCATTTATTAGTTATCGGAATTCTAGTATTTCTCATCAATCTGTGTTCTTATCAATAGAATGGCTAATTTTCTTCCTTCAAATTGTTAATGTTTTTCTATTAAAAAATAAAAACATAATGTCAGGTTTTGCTATAAATTTGAATATGTTGAATTTAAAAAAAAGAAATTGCCTTGCAACCAGTTGAGTGTGTACAGTACCCCGCCTACTGCCTGAAGACAGCTGGGATAGGCTTCAGCAGGCCCGTGGCCCTCGTGAGGATAAGCAGTTCGGATAATCGATGGATGGATAAAAATGTACACAATCTTTAACAAAAGCTCTGTCTCAATAAAATATTATTTTGTAGATGTTTTTATTAAAAGCCTTTTCATAACTTGTTCATTAAAAAAAAAAATTACAAAGCAGCAAATCAACAAATTGTAAACTTACCAGTACTAAAAAAACAGCAGAACAGTCAACGCTAAATGTGCTGCATGTGCATGCTTGTGTTTTTCCTCATGCAGACCAAATGAGAGAGTATATGTAGATGAACATAAACCAGAATATTTACTGGAACTTTACTATTGTATCACCAGTTTCTAGTTGAAGGCATGCAGTCCCAGCATTACCACCTTATTGCAAACTACCAACCAGCATGTAATTCCCACTCCACCTGGAAAAGCAAAAGATCTGTTTCAGGATTCCTCGATGATGTAGAATGGCAATGAAAATACTGCAAATGCAATCACTGAGATAATTACCTGCGACTCCAGTTGGGAAAGCGACAAGACGTTCAACAGGGGCAATCCATTTACTGGGAACCACTATTACTGGGTCTGAGTAATACTTCCAAATTAAAGAGATCATCAAAACAGCCTGACAAACACCAAGAATACATACACAAAGTTAGATCACGCACCACCACTTTTTACATGCATTCAAATTGGACTCCAGTAACCCTAAATTTGGAACGATTAAAAAAGTTATCTTAATGTCTGAAATGAAGAGGTTGATCTACCTGCAGTAGATAAAAGACGATGTTGACAACCCATTTCATTTTGGCCTGTTGTGCAGTCCTTGATTTCACTGTCAAGAGGAGAAAACAATTTCTTCACCTGTCTTAATAGTGCACTCGTGTCTGTTAGTCAACAGGCAGTTGTGCCTTAAGTGGGAAGTAGGACAGTGGCTCACTCAACTCATGGTTTGGGGGAAGAATGAACCAAAACAATGACATAACAGTGATACCTTGACTTACAGGTTTAATTTACTGCATAACCAGGCTCCTAACTCAATGTACTTGAATATTAAATACATTTCCCCACTGAAATAAATTGCAGGCACTGCATACAAAAAGAATGAAAAGAAATTAATTTGTTCTATAAAGTGTATGTGTGTGTATATGTATGTATATGTATATGTATATATATATATATAAGAGGGTCTGAGGAAAAACATCAGTTACCATGTGTTTTGAGCTTATCCGTCATCTTGTTTATTTTGCGCTCTAACCGGGCATATCGAGCAAATTCATCCATCATACTAATTGAAGACTGCTCTTTCTTCATCGCCTGGATTTCAGCCCTCATCTCATTCTCCTGTTCAGCATCTTTTTGCACCATCTTGGAGAGCTGGAGACATTCATTTTCACAGGATGCGAAGTCAATTCCAAAACATGGCTCTTAGTCCGACAAGCATTCTATCATGATGACAAAGAACACACGCAGCCGTGTAAAGTATTTATGCGCCAGCTATACTTACAAACGAAGAAATGCTCGGCAAGAGCGTTTTCATGAGATTGCAAAGAAAAACCGAGCCAAGCACAAGAAACCAAGCGTAACCGGCCGCCATGTTAACTGTTGGCTTGCCTTCCTCGCAAGCGAATTTAGAGTCCTGGTTGTTCGAACTGAGCGCACTACCGCCACTTAGAGGATGGAGTGCACTGCCATCTGCTGTATTGACTATAATTGTTCACTCACTACCACATCCCGCTCAATTTATAGATTATTGCCTACGTAGCCTTATTTTCACTTTTGGGATTGATGGTTATGTGTGTGGTGGAGCGTGGGGTGAATCCATACATAAAATCTGCACTAATTTAGTAGAGATAGATAGATAGATAGATAGATAGATAGATAGATAGATAGATAGATAGATAGATAGATAGACAAAGGTGAGTGGCGTGTGGTCCTGTCCACACAGGTAAGTTGCTATGGTTCAAAAATATGTTGCCTCCTCCTCTAAGCCAATTGGTGCAAGATGGAGGCGGGACATGACGTTTTCTGCTACGTCGGTAGGCTAAGGTTCAACTCACGTTAAACTAGAGGTCCAATCCGGTTTCGTCTCGTTCTGGTACTCCTCGGACGTTCATTTGAAGTTACAGGCAGAGTGTTTTGGAGGTAAATACCTTCAAGGTGTGGTGTGTGCGGACTTATTTCTAAGTGGCAAAGGCTCTCTACAAGCTTGACAACAATGGGAAAAACGAAGGTATGCTGCGTACAGCCAACTTATTTTTTACCACATCTCCGAGTGTCTTTTTTTAATCATTAATTAAATGTGTATTTCCGCGTCGTCGATCCTCGTGAAGCCATACTGAGTGGCGCCTTTTTACTTAGTGGGGTTGTGTGTTTTAAATGCAATCTGATTGAGCTGTTTTTGAAACGTAGAAACTAGAAAACAAACAGTGGAGTCCGCAAGGAGACAAAGAGGTGTAACCTTCGTCAGTTGAGACACAGGTTGCCATTTGGGGGAAACGTATCGCAAGATTGTTCACGAACGTCTCATTTACGAAGCTTGCATGGCAGAATTTATGCAGCTTACAAAAAAAAGTACCAACGAGTGCAACGTTAATAATTAGACGTTAATTACACATTTCGACGCTTAGAGACGGCGCGTCGTGGAGAAAGATCGCTTGTATGCGCGTCACCACCGTCCTTTCCCTCCGAGCGCCATGGCAGCCCTAAAAGGACACGCCTCTCCCTTTCATAAGAAAAGCCTGTACAGTCACGTCGGGAATCTATTTCTCTCTCTGGATGGTTTTGATTTCATAAATCGCCGTGGACGCGTGGTAGAAGGGGCTCGTTAAATGTGGCGCATACACGCTTCCATTTGAAATCTATCGTGCTAAAACTACTCCATCTATAATGTGTGATTAGGTTGGAGCGGTTGCCGCTAAGAAAACATTGCATAATGTCGTTATGACTTGAGGGAAGGGAGCGGTGCCCATCCCCCCTTTTGCATCACACGCCCACTTGACGATAGGAGTTTTTGTTGTTCCTGCTTTTAATATTTTCTCTCTCCCTCCTTTCGTCACAGGGCACAGAGGCTCCAGCAGATGCATGCCCAGCGGTTTGTAGTGAAGGCTTTCCATTGCTATGCTGTTACTCGCACCCAATGAACATTTTCCTGCTGTTTTTTTGGGGGGGGGATTTTGTCCTCCCGTTGGCACGTTGGCATTCCTAAAATGCTCTATTGAAACTGAAGCGTGATCTCCGCGAATCCCCTCCTCTCCACTATAACAAAAAACTCCATCCACACTTTGGATAGGTGTTTGACTAAACAAGATAGATACATACTTTACTCATCCAAAAGGGAAATTCATGTTCCAGTAGTCTCCATAATGAAAACAACACAAAGTAAAGCAGCCATGCTGTATTACTAGTAATATTCAAAACAAGGAAAGTACTAAAAAAAAAAAATAATAATGAACGAAGTATCTATATGAGTCTCTTTTTACAGAGAAGAAAGTCAAATAGAGGTTGTAATAAGTTTGGTATGAAATCCCATAATAAGGTGCACTATAATTAAATGATTCGTTCTTATTCTTTGAATATTTGTAACGGGAGGGAGAATCTATAATTGTTCTGAACTCATTTTCAAAGCCAACAGAGTAAAGGTCCTGTAAGGAGCTGATGCTCTAGTTGTGACCGAATCAACAATGCCTCTGATTGCAGCAGTTGCTTTAAGACACTGTTGGTCATTAGTCAATTCCACAATCAATCTTAGTTATCGAACAATAAGCTCATCTGGAAAGTTTTAGAGATGCAAAGATTCTGCTTGATATCAATGATGTGCAACATTTGCATGACCACTCAATAGAACTCCAAACAGTAGCAATGTTACCACTGATGCTAGTACTAACACATCACGAGGTGACCTGGCTCTTTCACTATTTTTATTATTGACTATTTAAGTGGTCGATCGTTAATTGTCGTGACAAGGATAGAAATGCTGTTTATCCTTATTCGAAGCCAGTGGTCTTCCATTTACTTGAGTTGTTGCGTTAGATTGTGTTTTTGTAAAAAATAAATAAATAAAAATACATAGAAAGATTTATTAATCATGTGATGGCAATAGTGTCTGTACTTGAGTCCCATATTGCGTGCCTACAAAGATGACAGGGACAATTATCGACAGAAATGATACAACTGTTCAAAGCAGCCCATGGCAGCACAAAAAGATGCACAGGAAAATACATTTTGATTCGAAGTATATATTCTGTCATTAACGCGTGTTGTCCTTCTTCAGCCAAAGCGAAAGTCTCCACGATTGTTAGCTGTAAGTTTTTCCTTTTATTTCCCTCTAATGTACTGCATTGATGGTGTGGGTTTAACAATTCAGTGTGCGCGTGTGTGTTTCACAGAAAGAGGCAGAAACTAAAACAGAGACGGAAACTAAACCACAGCCAACAAAGAACGTACGTAATGTTTAATAATCAAGTGACACTTGATCATTACTCATTGCTTTATTTCTAACATTGTAGGCGCCTAAGAACCAAAATGTGAAGGAGGTGCCCAAGGGCAAACCAGAACAGAAGAAAGAGGAACCTCAGGATGAAAAACAAGAGGACCCTGCTGAAAATGGGGAGGCCAAAGTTGAAGAGGTAGCTTCAAGTTTAACCCTGAATGATCATGTTTTTTTTTTATAGGCAAAAAAATAAAAGTGCCAGGTTCATGAATTTCATCCTCCTTTTGCAGGCGGCTGCAGCAGATGGAAAGAAGGATAAGACCGAAGCGGATAAAACAGATGAGTAGAATTGCCTCAACTCATCTGCCTGTGCACACCTGTACCTTCTTTAATGTCAAGTGCACATCCTGTTTTCAACTGCTAATATTTGGGACAGCAGCATTTTTAGGGACATGAATGCAGACATTGCTTTTTTTTTTTTCTTCCAACCCCATTGAATTTCATGGCTCTTGTGAAGGGAATGTTTTGACCTTTGTGTCGGGTTTTATTTCCCCTTTATTTTCCTCCCTCATCAGCTTCTTATTTGGATTTTTAGGCTGTTGTCTTCAATCTTCATCAGAAATCTGATGTAAAACTATGAGTTAACATGGAACTTCTCAAAGGGTTTTTAAAACTATACTGTTTTTAACAATCTGTAAAACACAATCACTTTGGTTGTTAAAATGAATGTTTGAACGTGTTTTATGGAATTATTATTATTTTCTCAACTGTAAAATCATGATTTTTGGTCCTAGAGTGCCGCGCATGATTGTGTTTGTTGCATCTTCAGAACATGTGCACGGGTACAGTTTGAAATTTGTCCTTTTCAACAACAACAACAAAATAATTAAGTTGCCATCTATATTCCTCCAGTGATGGTACATTGTTGTTTTTTAGCTATGGTCAATGCTTGCTCACTCTGTTGCCACTTCTGTCAACAATATGTACAAGTTTCAGATTTGTGGCTATACTTATTGTGACTTTGGGACATCTCTACCAATGTACAGTTTTGTTTTTATTGTTTGTTGTTGTTGTTGTTTTTTTTTTTTTTTTTTTTTTTTACGGGTAATAAAGCAACATTATTTTTACATTGTCCTTACATTTTTACAAAAGTACCGATAGTTCAGTAAAAACATTGACTGAGGTCAAAGTGGTTAAACTAGATAAATGCAAAATAATGACTTGATCACTTCTGTAGTTTATAGACTTCCAAATGATTGCCATTTTTATTTTTGTTTTGTTTTCACAAAAAAGGATTGGAAAAATGTAAAAATATGAGGTGTTTCGTTCAAGAAAATGTAAACTATTTTCCCATGAGGTCCAGTGAAATGCTTCAGCGTATCAGTCGAGTTTGGCTAATTCCATGCTCCCAATTTTGTGGGAGCTGTTTGGGGATTGCACCAATATGATTGCAGGTATACAAAGCAATTCCCCGAAAGACATGAATGAGAAACATTGGTGTGGATTAACTGGATTGCCTACACAGAGGCCTGACCGCAACCCGACTGCGAGCCAGGCGATGTGACCTCACAAATGTGTTTCTTGAAGAACTGTCAAAAACTCCCATTAACACACTTTAAAACTCGGTGGAAAAGCATCCTAGGAAATTTTTCAATGTTAGCGTTGCAAAGCGTGCACCAACGTCATTTTAAACCCTATGGATTACGAATGGGACGTCACTTAATATGTGAGTCAAAGCAGGTGAGTGAATACTTTTGTATAGAAGATGTGTAAGAAAGGTTGCAGGATTGATGTCACAAGATATACTTCAAGTACAAATTACCAAGTTTTTCTCTTCGAAGTAATCTCCATAAAGTCTAATGCAGTTTCCCAGCCTTCCTTGTCACACAAATACAGTTTGCACTCCTGGTAGGATTCTTCCGAGATCCTCTGCAGCTCTGTCATCATCAACATTTTAATGTTGTCCAAGTCTTCAAAATAGGTCCCTTTTCATGACCCACTTGGGACTGGGAAAAAAAACACATGGTGCCAAGTCAGGTGAGTAGGGAGGTTGCCCCAGTATGACAATGTTCATTTTTGACAAGGAACTGTCAGATGCTCAGGGCATTGTGATCAGGTATGTTGTCAGGGTGAAGCACCCATGCGTTGTGCTTCCACAACTCTCCCCCTTATGCACTGAACGAAGCAAACGCCGCAGGGTCACTTAGTAGACTTGCTCGTAAGTGCCATGGCCCACTAAATGTTCTAAGAAATCATTAGGGGTGCCACGGGAAATTCTCCAATGCCTCTCTGTTTGTAGAATATAAACTACACACACTGTATATTTTTGTTCATCTATCCCAGCGACATGTAGTGACAGATAGAACAATTAAATGCTCTTCCACTAGATGGCAGAAGGTGTGGCTCCCTGTGAGTACTGCTATGTGTTCAATTAAACAGTCCCAAACTTCGCACTAAGTCGATTTGTGATTGAATTGAGACAAGGTCATTGTTATGTCATTATTTTATACTTTTGTGACATCTTTTGTTTGGTGGTGTGCCATCAATATTCTTATGTAATATGTGTGCCATCAACTTGGCTCAATTAAGTTTGGGAAACCCGATTGGCCCAATTGAATGGGAAAACTTGTAGTTTGTTGCTTGGGTTTGAAATTTATATTTTGTGACACCAGTCCTCTAACCAATCTGACACACTGGCAGAATATTGTGGTGTGATGTCAATTGGATTTCGCTTTCTGGGAATATACTCAATGTCGTCACACTCCTGAAATAATGGCCTGAGTCATTTTTTTCAGAAATCACGAAGATCTGAACCAAATTATGATTTGATTATTTGTATTAATGATTTCATTTCAGGGGTAGAAAAGAATGACCTGATTAACTAAGGATGTAGCCGACGATAGCAGCCTGCCCTAAAAAACTGATGTCATACAGAAATGAGAATATTTTAATGCAAAACAATAGGTGGCATGTCAATCGTTACATAAACTTTACAAAAATACACAAATTCAAATGCAAATAATGCAAGCTCGTAATCAACCAAAATCGGTTCGATTTGTCCGTTCACTACTCATGACGTCATGCGTCGGACTCGCGACCTTGGTCAAAAAGGAAGGGGCGCCTGCGTGGTTGTCGCCTTGCATTTAAAAGGAAAGTGTATTAAATCGTCGTCACTTTGAATTCCACGTTTACATATAAACAGTGTACGAGCAGGTTAGTTGAATTTAGCCAAACGAGAGGATAACGTGCAGTGTTTTTCGGGTCTTTTGTTGGACTCGCTCCTCCTCCCCTCTCCCTTTTTCCTGTGTGTGTGGCTCTGTGGCGGAAGTAAGTGGTATCGCGGAGGCCTCATCCTTCCAATGGCGACTGCGAACAGGCTGACTAGCAAGCGGGAGCAACCGTGGAGGGGGTCAGACCTGTGTGACGGAAATTAAATAAATATATATCATATATTTCGCCGTTTTTCCAAAGTTAGCCCATCATTGTGCTTCTCTCCATATTACGTCCAAGTCAAATGGCCAAAAATCGGAAAATTTCGCTCCTTGAGACGGGTAAGCCGCATAAGGAACCCCCAGTTAATCGCTCAATTTACTTTGATACTGCATCTGTTAATTACATTACATCAATCGCCCCGGTGTCTTTTAATTTCAGAGCTCTATTACTTGATATCTCGTTTCCTAACAACGGGTCCCTGTCGGAGAACGGCTGAGGTGAGCTAGCATACGTAACCGTTTATGTTATATTTCAAAATACTTGCCTTAGCTACTTGATAACAGCCTTGTCAGAGGTAGTCGCAATTAAGTGCCCCTTTCCACCCGACTTGCAGGTCCTGGTGAGCGAACTCGAAGAATATCAGGTATGTGTTCACGCTTCGTGATGTGTGCTTTAGATGCGATACGACGGTGATGAGTCGGGACTTCCAACTTGTTTAGATTCTTTAATGCTTATGTAGATCTCAGCCCTTTGACATCACTCTCTTTTTACAAGCTAAATACATGTCTTATGTGCTCCTGTTTTGTGTTGAGACTTCGGTTTGACCAAGATCTGTTTTCGACAGCTCTTACCAGGGAGATTGGACTGGCTGGGAAACGAGCACCCGAGATCATATGAAGATGTGGTACGAGTTATTTTGACTTTTGTACTATGATTAAATTCATTGTAGTAAATGTGTCGCGACAGGACAGGATCCCACGCTTAGCGCTTGTTTACTCTCTTTGTTCTAATCTCTTTGAAGTACAGTCGGCTTTATTTGAACTGTGAAATTGTACAAAGTCTCAACTTGTCCCTTGAGACATAACTCGACGTGAATTCAGATAAAATAGCCGTAGACGTTCATGTACCATAAGGTTTTATTTATAATTTAGCCACGACAGTTGTGCTGCAGATAGGGTGGGTAGTTTGGCTTCGCTTGCTGGCGAGGCCGCTTCATTGGCCAATCAGAGGCACAGATGGGTTGTCTGCGAGTTGTTTTGCCTGTGACCAGCTTTCTGATTGGTCGATTAAAAGTCAATGTTTTGCATAGGGAGCCACGCTTCACAGGAAACATCTTGAGTAGCGTAACCATATCGCAGTCTTGTCCGAAGATGTTTCGTTAAAACATGACTATAAACATAATTTGACTATAAACGTTATACAGAGTTAATATATATGTAACGGTAAGAAGCACTTTAAGCACATTTGATTCTTCTGATAATTGGGGTGTTAATATTGTGACCAAGCCAGTCAACGTCAGTTTGATATAACTTTGAAAAACTTTTATGGATTTTTAATTTTTTTTTTACATGTTCAGTCCAAGGTACTTGAGTGCATGTTGTTATAGAAATGGAAAAATGACATATCCATTTGGATTTTCTTCCAACACACAAACAGTAAAGACAAAGACTCATACAAAAACAAATAGTCGTTGAAGATTCTTTTGCCATTTGCTGTTGTTCAAATTAGCAAATCAATTGAGTTATTTATTCAGTATTTACACTGTCAAGTGGCTGTCTTCTCCCCACTCCCTCACAGGTTGCAGCTAACACACATGTTGCACCAGACCATTTGTTACAAATATGTAAGCAGATCGGACCTATTCTTGACAAGGACGTGCCATCCTGTGTCCCTGGTGTGCACTCACTCTTGGGGTCCGGAAAGCAGTCGATGCTCAGGACCTCGAAAGGTACCATAGTGATTTGTTGTCCTTTCCTTCTGTGGCATGTCGGTTCACTTTGAGTAACATAATAATAACCGCTTATTTGCTGCTGGGGAAGTATGAAATTAAAAAATTAAAGAATCCAAAACTGCTTTTGTTAAACGCATCTCCTTATATACGGTACAGCTTTTTAAGTGTATATAACACACACACACACACACGCACACACACACACACATTTTTAGCGTGGTCAGCTAGTCCTCACTTTTTGTTTTTGATATTTTGACTCTTGAGAGAATGTGTTCAATCTATTTTGTGATTTCCTAATTAGCAAGTAACCCTCGTGAAAAGGATCCAGAGAGTTTACAATCCAATCGGAAAAACTGACTTATTGACGGAAAAACAACATAAATTTGTAATTTTGTTTTCTTTTGAGTTTTGGAAGGTAGCATACAGAATATTGGAAGATAGAGATGCAGTTTTCCTGACCCAGTTCTCGAATTTGTAATTTTAGAGGATTGTAGTTGTTTAGTGGCATGAATTATGGCAAAAATGTCATGAAGGTGCTCTCTTTAAAATCATGACCATTATCAAATGTAAGCTATGTTTATATATTTTTTAAAAAGTGACAGAATTTCTGCATTTTGTGTTTCCAGAATGTGATGGTGTGCGATTGAAAACTTCATCATACGCAGCCCTTCACAGGGGCAGACCACCAGAGAGGCCTTTAAACATCAAGAA